TTGCACAGGGTGCGTGCTCCCCAGGGAAGGAGAGCAAGGGACAGGCATGGCCGAACGTGCACAGCGTGCATTATGGGAGACCCGTCCAGCGAGCCTGGCAAAAAAGCTCAGCCAGTTGGCTGCTCTTGTATCTCAGACCTACCATCTCCCCGAAGAGATGAGATCGTTCACCCAGTGAGCTGGCGGATGCATGCTTAACCTACTTAAAGCAAAGCTGAGTTTAAATACATCTTTTTAAAAATAGCATTTTTCCTGGCAATGCACCCCAAGTGTAGAAATACTGGAAAAGTCAGAAAAGTGTAAAGAAAATTAAAGCCGCTTGGAATCTTGCCCCCCAGAGACTAGGGGGGACAACGTAAAGAAGTAATTTAGATCACGAGGTGTTGCTTACGTCCCCACCTTCTGGGGATTAACCGCCACTATTGACGTGTGTCCTGTATTCTTCTAGAAATGCACGCAGGAAGAAATAGCTTACATAAACGGGACCAAACTTGCGGTTTTCAAGCGTTCCCTCTTTATCATCAGTGTGATAAGAATGTCCAGAACTATACCTCCATAGCATCATTTTAAGAGCTCCACAGTAAGGAATTTCTCCAATCATCAGAAACCTATTTAGGAAAATATATCTGTGTATTTGTTTAAAAGGGGAGAAAGTCTAGAAGAATATATACTTTTAATGAGAAGAGGGACTTGTTTTCTGCTTTGTACTTTTCTGAATTTTTTTCAAATAATCACACTCCTCAAAATAACCAGAGCTAATATTGTGCTGTATTGTTGTTGTTTTTTTTTTAAGATTTTATTTATTTGAGAGAGAGAGAAAGCACAAGCAAGGGGAGAGGGAGAAGCAGGCTCCCCGCTGAGCAGGGAGCCTGACATGGGGCTCGATCCCAAGACCCCGGGATCATGAGATCATGACCTGAGCCGAAGGCAGACGCTTAACCGACTGAGCTACCCAGGCACCCCTTGTGCTGTATTTCAAGAATATTTTAAAACATCATTAGAATCATGGTGTGTGTAGGGTTTTGCCTCCTGATTAAATCATCCGATGGAGTCCAGTGGACTTTTTTGGCTTTATCACAGATTGCTACATGATAGTTGTTCATGGGAGGATGCTATGATTTTTGTGTATTGTTCCTGATTTTTCACATTGTAAGGCTGTGATGAACAGTTGTGCCCCTGAATTATTTTGTTTCCCCGTCTGAATACTCCTCAGGATGCATTCCTGGAAGGATGGTCACTGGGTCAGAAGGTGTAAAATTTTTAAGGCTCTGGTTGCATATGAACAGACTGGTTTTAAGAATTTCTACTCCTTAATACTATCAAATAAGCTTTTGTTCATAATAAAATGGGTGCTGTAGATAGTTCTTATTGTCCTATTTAATTTTTTTTTTTTAAGATTTTATTTATTTATTCATGAGAGACAGAGAGAGAGAGAGGCAGAGGGAGAAGCAGGCTCCCAAGGAGCAGGGAGCCTGATGCAGGACTTGATCCCAGGACCCTGGGACCATGACCTGAGCCGAAGGCAGACGCTTAACCATCTGAGCCACCCAGGCGCCCTGTCCTATTTAATTTTAAAGCAGAGCTTTTAGTTCTTTTCTTGAAATATTTTTGAAGAATTAATTACTAATGTTATATCTAAACATAAAAACCATGCTTATTTTTGGTCAGCATTTTTTCAGAATAATTTTTAAGGGTAACCAATCATCTTTAAGAAATTTTAAAACAAAGAAAAAATCATCCTAATAAGGCCTAATAAATAATAAATAAAGCCTAAGTAAATCCCCCTCCCTTTTCTATGAATTTTACATCGTTGGAATAAAAGTATATGTAGTTTTTTTTACAGCTTTTTTTATTTAGCAGAGTGTTGCAAGCATTTCTTCCCACATACTCTTCATAACGTTTTTTTAAAAAGACTTATTTATTTGACAGAGAGACACAGCGAGAGAGAGGGAACACAAACAGGGGGAGGGAGAGGGGGAGAAGCAGGCTTCCCTCCACGCAGGGTGCCCAATGAGGGACTGGATCCCAGGACCCTGGGATCATGACCTGAGCCGAAGGCAGACGCTTAACGACTGAGCCACCCAGGCGCCCTGATAACTATCATTTTTAATGACCGTGAATTATTCCATTGACTTCACCTACCACAATGTACTCAACATTCCCCTGTTGGACACTTAGGTGATTCCACATTTTTACTTTTATAGCACTGGGGTGAATGTGGACCATTTCCTTAGGTTTGAATCCCCCCCAGTGGATCGACTGGGTCTGAATTTAAATTGTTGTTCGTTCAGAATTTTCACACAGCTTCATACTGGCCTGTCTCCTAGCTTAGTCTTAATTCTTAAAGCTTTACTCCAACCACCTGGTGAAATTCAGGACGTTCCAGTTGGCAGGGCACCCACGAGGTGCTATGATGTCCTCGGGAACCAAAGTGGTCACATTGGCAAAGTGACCCTTTGGGGGTCTGGATGTTTCAGACGCAGGAGCAGAGTAGAAAGACGGAGCACTTTCCCCGCACGCCCTGTTGGTAAACTCGAGGGAGCGCGCTGAGCTGCCGGGCACAGAAACTTCTCATTCCGCAGCCTTCGCAAATGAGGAAAGAAAATCCACAGCAGCAGGGACCCGATCGTTAGGTAACCCCCTCCTATTTCTTCTTTTTTTCCCCGTTTCCTTTTGTGAGAACATCATCAGCCCAGGATGGAAAGGCATTTATGGTGTCTCCTTTGCTAAAGCAAATTCTGGCGACTTCATTTTCAGAAATGCAAAATTCGTGAAGTTCATAAATGCCTCTTTGTTGACCATGAGCCGTGTGGTTTGGCCCCCAGAGTTATCTCAGATAGCACAAATAAATCTGACGGCCTCTAGTTGTCTCAAACTGAGCATTACCTCCCTCCCCCGTTGTCCCCTCCTGCAGAAATTTCCTCTTGGCCTTCAGCTGCACAAACTCCGTCTTCTCATCAATATGCCCTGTTAACTGCTGCCAAACCTCCAGCAGTTGAGTGCATATGTTCCCTTAATCATTTCTCTTTGTTCTAGAAGTCTGTGTTGGTTTCTAAACCTCCCCCACCCCCTCTCCTAATTCCACCATCACCATCACTGGCTTATAGACACGACTGTCTACTGTCTACATGTTTATTTAAAGAACATCCTAGGGCGCCTGGGTGGCTCAGTTGGTTGAGCGACTGCCTTCGGCTCAGGTCATGGTCCCGGGGTCCTGGGATCGAGTCCCGCATCGGGCTCCCTGCTCCGCGGGGAGCTTGCTTCTCCCTCTCCCACTCCCCCTGCTTGTGTTCCCTCTCTCGCTGTGTCTCTCTCTGTCAAATAAATAAATAAAATCTTTAAAAAAAAAAAAAAAGAACATCCTAGATGGCCTGCCATTGAGAAGGGCTTTTGCAGTCTGCTCACAGCGTGCTAAATCATCCCCCGCCCTCTCCCCTAGAACAGTGTGTTAGCTGCCACTCACAGCCTTCGGAGCCCAGGTGAGGGGCTGCCCGAACTTTCTGGAAAGCATGAGGTTCCAAGAAGACAGTGTTACCTGTCCGCACAGACAAAGATTCCTTCTCTGTTTTCCGCTGGTCCAACCCAAGAAAAGGACGCTTTATTCTTGGAGTCCACCAGTGTATAGGAACAGTCGGTCTCAATGGGTTATTCATGGTGTCCAAGAGAAATACTTCTGGAGCTATGATTCTTGTCCGATGAAAAGTGGGCTAGGCGGCCTGCTCGCCGGGAATGCCCTGTGCCTGTGGGACCCGCCGGCCCCCTCCTGACGTGGCCAGGCTCCTCTTAGCAAGCGAAGGGGTCTTCTGGGCTCCTTGTGACCACGGTCTGCACGTACCAGTGCCCAACTCTGTCGGCCAGTGGGCACAGGGAGGCACTGTGTTGTTGCTCTCTGCTTTTAAGTGTGTTTCTCCTCTTACCCTGTGTAGACCCCTCACCCCCTGCCCTGAGAGCACCTGAAGAACCACCAGAGCGAGGGTTCAGGGCCCTTTCTCCTCGGCTCGGGAGGGTGCTATGGAACCCTGGAAACTGTAATTGGAAAGGTCCTACAAATACCATCTCTCCATCCTCCCTCCCCTGCCTCTTCCCTCCCCCAAAAGTATTTCAGAGAGTCCCCAGCAGCTGCACGGACAGTGGACCAACCCGATTTTGTCTCTGTTTAATAAATCCTACCGTGAACCATGCCCACTCTGTACCTGGTCAGCAACTTCTGGGAATGCAGAGGAAAGCCCTCCTAACACGGAGTTAAAATATGTAGAAAGTAGCTGGGAGGAAATTCTCGGTGTGAGGGATTGTTTTCCACCCCCTTTCCTTTTCTGAAGAAAAAAAAAAAAGGTTAATGTTGACTCATTTGGTGGAGATATAAGGCATTTTTCTGCCTATCCCCAAAGGGAAGTTTGCATTCTTTTAAATGAAACCATTTTAAAAGCAGAACTCAATCCTAAAATGATCCACGGTTCTCCGGACTTCTCAGAAGGTGTAGATTTATTTACTATAGTTAAAACATAATTAGTTCTCAGGGGATAGTGTATCTTTTAAACGGCTTTATTGCCACCATATTGGCTTTCTGAATAATCAGAAACTTCTGTTATGATTATGGTCTAGTGTTCGGACAGAAACGCACCGTAAGTAGAAACAAATGTCAGAAACTGCTAGTTGTCACTCGGAGTAAGGGACACCACATCAGAGGGGGAAGAAAGAATGTCCTGATAGGATATTCCAAAGAAATGGAATCAAACAACATCTTAAATGAACTAACAGCTCAGGCGGGCACCCCAACCCCAATCTTTTTTGATTCAATGGTGTTTTCTTTGTCTCTTCTCCTTCATTATCACCACAGAGGCTGGGAATGGGGTCAGTATCCCTTGAAACCCGGGAAATGGCCCTTTTTCTTCCCCACACACCCCCGCAGATGAGTGCGAACAGGTCCTCCTTTCGTCTGAGCCGTAGGCTCTGCTCTCGTGTCCCTGTTCTGGCTGACCAGTCTTTCCCACCGTTTGCAGGTTGATGTTTGAGATCCCGCAGGAAATGGGGTTAATAGCCATTGCAGTCCGCCAAACGCAGGGCAAAGGTCAGTCATCTTTTGTTATCATTTCTGTTGTTCTGTTCTCTAAAATCTGTGACTCTTGTGGCCAGGTTGCCCATTGATTGTGTGTGCTGATCACGGAGAAGACTCCTGTTGGAATGCTTGTTTTCACACCCCCTAAAATGGAGGAAGAGGGAGGGAAATTGATCAGGAGACTGAGTCTTGGTAGAATTAAAGCTTTCTCTCGAGCGGAGATGGTTATTAATCACTGGACATTCGCTGGGGATGGTTTTAACATTCCGTCACCTACATCTTGTAAATCCTTTCTGACACGTTCTAGGCATTGCAGTGTGTGAATCGTTACTGTGTTACAGACACATTTATTTGCCCGAAGGTTCTCGGGGACGTGCCTTCTGGGTCCCTGTTGAGTGTCCCGTGGAGAGCCCTTTCGTCTGCTAGCCCCCACCGCAGCCGCATCGGAAATTCCATGACCAGTGGTCAGTGCCCCTTCACAAAGTGACCACAGAGAAGCCAAGGGCTGATCCGAGCTTCTGCCACCTGCTGACCCCCAGGCCCTCAGAAACGAGAGCCCGCATCCTCCCAGAATCCACTTGGGGTCCAACCGCAAGCAGACTCTGTGCTCAGTGGTCCCTCCGGAGGCACTCGGCCCCCGCCGGTGGCAGGCCAACCCAAACGTGCTTTTCGCTCTCAGAGGCTCTTATGCCTTTCTCAGAAGGAGCAACGAAATAAGAAATCCACTGTTTTCCACTTCTTTCCTTTGAACACGTCTTCTGAACATAACTCAAAGAGAAAATTCATTTTACCCAGACCTGGAGGGGGGGGGGCTCAATTCGGTGGTTAAAAAAAAAAAGAACACAGAAGAACTTGGATTATACCTCTCATTTTTGGATTATACCTCTCATTTTGAGCATTTTATTTTCTTGACTTCTATTTTAGGAAAAATAACCCCGAGAGTTAATATCAGGGATTACTTTTTAAAGTCTGCTTCCTTCCTCCCCCCCCCCCCCCGTATAACAGTGAGATATAATTCACAGACCATACAGTACCCCCAATTAAAGTATACAATTCTGGGGTTTTTAATATATTCACAGGGTTGTGGGACCATCACCACAATACGGGTCACTTCTACACTGTCGTGTCCAGGACCTCTCCTGGACCAGGACAGACCCGGCCCGGTTTCCCCACTGTCTCTGTTTTTGCCGGCATTACCAGATGGTGACAATTAAGCTGACAGTCATGTTCAGACCCTGTAGGACTTTGAATCATCAAAGCATAAATGATCTGCTCACTGAGGCAGAACATTCAGCTACTTATCAGAAACTTGTTCAGCAACACAGTGCCAGACTTTAAAATGCTTCTCTGTTCTTGAGTTAACCCCAGAACCTCCAAGCATCTTCATCAGTGCAGGTTGATTGCACGTGGGGCTCTGAGGCCTGGGCCCATTTTTGGGTGCTGCATGCATCTGACTGTTCACGTGGCAGGGTGGCCACTTTCCTGATGGGGCCCTCTGTGTTCCAGGGCGGGGAGTGAACGCTTGGCTGAGCCCCATGGGATGCGCTGTGTCCACCCTGCTCATCTCCATCCCACTGAGATCCCAGCTGGGACAGAGGATCCCATTCGTCCAGCATTTGATGTCCCTGGCCGTGGTGGAGGCGGTGAGGTCCATCGCTGGGTACCAGGTATGTGCGATTTGCCCATCCGACAAACCCCACCCTGGGTGCGGATCTCAGTTGAGGTTGGTGTGTGGATGCATCTGAATGACCGCTGCGTGTAGAGTTTCAGGCTGCTCTTTGCAAAGTGGGCAGCAGAGTGCTCCTGGAGTTTTAAAAGCACTGTCAGCTCATAGCGTGGCTCCGGGGTCGCCGGGATGGGTTTATTTCCCAGAATTGCCTTTCTGTGCTGTTGCCAGATTACTCCAGCCTCTCCTTTCCCCCCCACCTTTAACTGAAGCACGCTGGACTGACATACCACACTGTTGCGTTTTCTGGTGAAAAGGCTTATTGTATGGACCTAAACAACCTTCTCATTCCCTATCTTCACTTAGCACGGTCCCTGCTTAGCAGAACGAGCCTTGTCTGTGGCTGCCCAGGGTCAGCGTGCAGGCTCGTTTGGGGTGTCTGCTCCCCACTGTGGGGACAGAGGTGGCTGCTTCATCATTACCATCGGATGCTTCCGTGTCAGTTAGTAGGGAGACAAGAGGGTGATTAATGCAGTTTTCCTGGACGAATTCCATGGGTTCCTCCCCGGCCTCCCTCCTACCTACATTTCTTCTGTCAGGCCGAACACAATTATAGTATTAATTCATGAAGTGAGAGGCTAAGATCATGACTTTCAAAGGGGCCTGTCCTCGTGTTTAACAGGGAAGCAGTCCTCCCCTCCAATGTGGTCGTGTCCTCGTGGTCACCGTGTGTAGGACTGGGGTATGTGTTTCCCACATCACATCAAGTCCCTGGCACGCACACTGAAAGGTGACGTTTATGACCAGCGTTCAGCATCCTTGCGCTCTGTATCCCAAGGGCCTGGGCTCATCCGACTGTCACACATCTTCGCAGGTCAGCTTGCAGCCCCTGAACTAGACATTTTGCCTCATGGAGGGCAGTTGAGAAGATAAAGTTCTGTCGTGGGGGGAAATATTTTTAGCCCTAGCGGCAGGTTTGTTAGTCTTAGGAAAATAATTTAAAATTTACATCAGGATGGCTGGGTGGCTCAGCCAGTTAAGTGTCTGCCTTTTAAAAAAAATTAAAATTTACATCAAATGCCCTCCTTAATGCCCATCACCCAATTACCCCATCCCCCTGCCAACCCCCCCTCCAGCTACCCTCAAGCACTGGGTGTTATATGCAACCGATGAATCACTAAATTCTACTCCTGAAACTAAGAATCTACTATATGTTAACTAAATTGAATTTAAATTTTTAAAAAAAGAACAATGCTAAGAAAAACATGCAAAAAATAGTATTAGTCAATTTCATGCAAACTATTATAAAACATTATTACCTTCTAAAAGAAGGAGGAACAATATTAAGAAAAACATGCAAAAAATAGTATTAATCATTTCATGCAAACTCTTATAAAGCATTATTATCTTCTTTAAAAAAAATAAAATGATGGGACAGGGTGGGTTGGTGTAACTGGGTGATAGACATTAAGGAGGGCACGCAATGTGGTGAGCACAGGGTGTTATATAAGACTGATGAATCACTGAACTCGACCTCTGAAAATAATAATACACTGTATGTTAATTAATTGAATTTAAATTTAAAAAAGGAAATTAAGAAATGGTAGAAACAAGTAAAAAATAAAATAAATAAAATTTAAAATTTAAATTAATCTGTTTAGCTTTTTCTTGGCTTTGATTGTGACCTTGTAGCCTCGCTTGTTAACTGAGCGAGCATTCTCTGAGTGCCTGCTAGCCAGGAGGCCGTGCCAGGCACTGCGGGCAGCAGGATGTGAGGTGGGAAGCTCGCCCTGGAGCCAGGGCGGGGGGGCGGGGGGGTGCCGCACCTGATGGGCGTGTGTCCCTCCTTATCCTTAAGGAGCTCCCACCCAAGTTCCTGTCCTGTTTCTGCAGTCGTGCAGCTCAGTCACACCTGTGTGATGTGACTTTGGCTTGGGGTTGGGCTTATTCTTGTTTTATTTTTAGTTTTACTGAGATAGAATTGACGGACCCCACTGTGTAAGTTTGAGGTGTGCAGCATGAGGACTTGGCATACATATATTGTGAACTGATTACCACAGTAAGTTAACCTCCTTCACCTCCTAGAGTCACCAGAAAACATTTTTCCCCTTGTGATGAGAACCTTTAAGATTTACTTTCTTAGGGGCGCCTGGGTGGCTCAGTTGGGTGGGCGACTGCCTTAAGCTCAGGGTCATGATCCTGGAGTCCCAGGATCAAGTTCTGCATTGGGCTCCCTGCTCAGCGGGGAGTCTGCTTCTCCCTCTGACCCAACCCCCTCTCATGCGCGCGCTCTCTCTCTCTCTCAAACAAATAAATAAATACAATCTTCAAAAAAAAAAAAGATACAGAGACAACGCCATAAAAAAATTAAAAAAAAAAAAAAGGTTTACTTTCTTAGTGTTTTTTAAAATTTTTTATTTAAATTCAACTTAATGAACATATTGTGTATTATTAGCTTCAGAGGTAGAATTTAGTGATTCATCAGTTGCCTACAATACCCAGTGCTCATTCCATCACGTGCCCTTCTTAATGCCCATCCCCCAGTTGCCCCCTTCCCCTTAGTGTTTCTTTTAAACAGCATAGCTCCAGGATGGTTGGAATAGGCCCCAGTTGCATAGAGTTTGCCTTTCTCGCATCCTTGGCCAGATGTCCCTGTCAGCACACAGATCGTGCCCATCTCCCTGGACCAGAGGCGGTGTCCCAGGAATGCCCGCTATTCCTTCCAGAACCCTCGTTGCATTGCCTGCTGCCGTCCATCCCACTGTTCCTTCTGTCTCAGAGGTCCCTGCTGGGCGCCTGGAGCCCTCCACCCCCACATTCCTGCTTCTGCTCTCCTCCCCGCACCTGTAAGTTCTCTTTGCCCTGGGAGGCCCAGCTCCAGTGCCATCCCCAGAAACTTGTAGCTACAAACTCCCTCCTCTAACCTTTTGGCATTTTGAAGTTCTGAGCCGCTTTCATGGTTTCTCCCACGGGTCGCTTGGAAGCAGGGTTATTTGTCCTCCTGTACTATCTCCTATAAAGCAACCAGCTCCTTGAATGCACGGTTAGTTTTATGTTGGTCCCAAAGGGCCTAACCTGGTGCTTTATACCTGGGAGGCCTGCCGCCGCAGCTGTTTGAATAAATCATTGAGATGGTGAAAAAGAAGCATGCAGCCTTTCTCTTCGTCTTGAAATAGAGGTCATTGTTTACCTGCACGAGAACACACGATTTCCTAAGCTGCAGCATTAACTAACTAGGTCTGAAAATGTGAAGTAAAACAAGGGCCCAGGGGCAAGGCCGGTGCAGAGGAAAGCGGCCACCCACATGCTGGGGGAGTAGTTTCCAGGCTTGGGCAGAGACTGTGCTGGGCACAAGGGGACCTGGGAGAGTGACCAGAAATGTCTCCCGTATTGCCCAGTGTCCCCTGGGACAAGGTGGCAGAATGCCTCCTTGCTCCGGCCCCCATTGAGATCCCTGTTCTACAACAGAAAAAAATACGAAGCTCCCTCTCAGTTAGCGGTCAGGGCGCACACGCGCATCTTATTTATGCTTTTGTTCTTTGGTGCTTCTGCGTTTCTTCCCCTCACCATCGAGCGCCACATGCTAGGGCAGACGAGCTTCTGAAGAACAGAAACGCATTCTAACTGGCCACCATACAAAGAAGGCTTTGTCGGAGGGAAAGGAAGGGAATTCTTGGAAGCAGTAGGCTGCATAGCATAGTGTTAAGCACCCAGGGGCCTTATGTCAGAAAGCCCCGGGTTCGAATCCCAGCTCTGCCGCTTCCGAGTATAACCTCAAGCAAGCCAGGCCATCTCTCTCGGCTTCAGTTTCTTCCTTGTTAAACAGAGGTGAATCTAGTACCCCCACGTGGGTTTGGTGTAAGTAACACACAGACCAGTGCTGAGATGGGGCTCGGGGCCGGGCGGGCCCTCAGCGACGGAAGAGCCAGCCCTGTGGGATCAGAGGCCATCTGCTCCGCTGCAGTCTTTTGGTTTATTCTGCTGAGTGTCTTTCTTCCAGATTCTCTTCCTCTACCCACACATGGCACGACCTGGCTGCCAGCCCCAGGCCCCGGAGGCTGGGCAGTTCCAGCACCCACTGAGTCTCACCCAGTCTCTGTGTCCCTGCTTAAGAATCACAGCAAGAGTTGGGGTCTGGGAGGACCAGCTCAAGGCAGTGTCCGCCCTTGGACCATTCCACTGTGACCGTGACCGGGGGCCCCAGGCCGGGCTGCCCACGGTTTGCTTCTGGATGGAGAGGCAGTGAGCCGCTGAACAAATCTGTTTCTATTACCAGTTGACTGTTAGCAATTCTTTGAGGCCTTCAGTGATAATCCAGTGAACCGGGTTCCTTCTCTGTATCTCTCTAGGATTCTACTTGAGACAATTCTACCCACCTTTTGTGACAGTGGTTAATTTGGGGCATCTTTCTCTCTTGAGCATGAGCTCCTTAAGGAAAAAGAACCCTAAGCATATTTTGGTCTCCCTGCCTCCCCCCCAACCCGCACACGGTAGGTACTCAGTGGGGGTGGCCATTGACACATTGAAGGTTTGGTTCCAGATCACCACAATAAAGTGAGTCAAAGGAGTTTTTGGTTTCCTGGTGCATATAAAAGTCATGTTTACACTACACTGTGGTCTATTAAGTGTGCAATAGCATTGTGTCTAAAAAAAACAATGTACATACCTTGATTAAAAGATACTTTATTGCCCAAAAATGCTAACCATCATTGGAGCCTTCAGCGAGTCATAATCACTGATCACAAATCACCATAACAAAGACTGGAAAAGTTTGAAATGTGACAATTAACAAAACGTGACACAGAGGCCCAAAGGGAGCAAATACCATTGGACAAATGGCACCGATAGACTTGCTCAACTCAGGGTTGCCACCAACCTTCAATTTGTAAGAAACACAGTGCCCATGAAGCACAATAAAGCAAAGCACAAGAAAACGACTATGCCCGGCCTGGGATAATGAAGGGATGTGGAGAGAATCCACGATTTACACCAGATACGTTCTGTAGGTCTCTCTCCTGGCCCCAAGGTGGTCCTTGACCACTGGATTGTCCCAAAGAAGGGATTAACCCTCAGAACAAGAAGCGAGGATGAGATCCCATGTTCCATTAGATTTGAGAGTATCTGGCTCATCTTCCTTTTAGCTGAATGACCTCTCCCGGCCCCTTTGTGTCCCGTGATTGCTTGATTAATGTGCAGATTTTCCTTTAGGATATCAACCTACGAGTGAAGTGGCCCAATGATATTTATTACAGTGATCTCATGAAGCTTGGTGGAGTTCTGGTTAACTCGACGCTTTTGGGAGAAACATTTTATATACTCATTGGTGAGTTGTGAAAGCCTTTCCTCCACATTTTTAGATGAATAAAAACGAAAATAAAAATGGTTTTTACATGGCTACCTTGAGGAGAGTGGATTATCATATGGGATTACTTTTTCTCTGAGCCTTGAGTTACAGAGCACAATATGTATGCAAAGCAGGCCGGACTGGTTGAAAGCCCCTTGCAGAGGTTTAGCGTTCCTGTCTCTGGCCATGGAAACCACCGAATCGGTACCACATCAAACAGGTTTTTTATTGCACCTCTCCACATACTGGCTTCTTGTTGAATCAGAAATGGTGAAAATAAACATTTAATATGCCATTTTGTAATAAGGAAAGAAAGCTAATTGCAAGGATGGGGTTCCTGGTGCTCCTGCATTCTTAATTGGACCTTTCCAGGCCATGAAAAAGTTATGTGAGGTTTTTTTGTTTTTTGACCTTCAGAAGAAGCTCCAGGCTGGTCAAGGTGGGGTGCAGAATCCCATTTCCCCTCAGCACATCCGTATCAGGCAAGGAGACGGATTCAGAAACCATTTCAGAAGTTCTCAGGCTCCTGCTCATCTGAGCATCTGCTTCTCCCTAAGGCTCAGGAGAACTGAAGGTTCAGAAATGAGTAATGGGCAGAAAATATGTGATGATATGTCTGTGGGAAGGACCAGCCCAAAAGTGCAAAGCTTAAGTTTCCAGCTCTGCCACCAATGGGCAGTATTATTCTGAGTGAACTGCTTCGTAGCCTCCAAGCGCTCCTCATTTTTAAATGTGTTCACTAGGCTAGATGCACATATCCCGAAGTAGGGCCCAGAGATGTCAAGGAGGTCCAGGGATGGCTTCTGTCAGTATGGGGGAAGGAAACGTGGTCCTGTAGGTAGAATTCATGGCTTTTATTAAGTTCTTAAGGCCATAGGAGGTGATGGGGGGAGAGGGGGTGTCTTTGGGGAAAGAGTCAGGGTCCCCAACAGGGGTGCTCTCTGGTCCTTGGAAAGACAAGGCCTGAGTTGGCAGTAGTCAGTGCTGCTGTTTCCCCAGGACTTTGAATTTTCTGAATATATGGGAGATTGTTCAGCACCATATGCACTTAATTGAATGCCTTACGCTCCATGCTGTGTGTGTTGTTGAATGAACAAATGGACAACTGCTGATTCGTCCCTGTTGCTGTGGTTACTTGGTCTTTTTTTCCAGATGTAATTTACATTGCTTAGTATTTTAATAGCCAGTATATTAAAAAAAAAAAAAATCTGAGGCCTATCAATCCTTCCCTTCACACTGAGAATGGCTTGGAACATTGACCAAAGAATACTGTTCTTGTAAATGTCATCATTCTATTTGGAGGCGAGTACTTGGAGAAGTTTTTTCCTCGGAGGCACTGAAAACAAGAGCGTCTCACTGCTTAGTTCTTGCAGTATTTCATTTCTTATTGAAGACCTCTTTGAGGTTGATTCAGGGCCCTGTTGAAAACTGAGGTTTGGCTTCTCGAAGGCTCTAGCTCTCTGGGAGAGGGTTGGTGGTATTAAGTAACGGCAGAGACAAGCCTGTTCAGACCCCACTGCTGGTACCTCCCGTTCCTGAAGCCCTGGGTTAGGAGCCTATAAAAGAGCCACTGAACACAGGTTGGCCCCTTGCCAGCAGCGTAACCCTAGCACCAAAGACTTCCAAGGATAACGTATTAAAAAGATGTGTTCTAGGGTTATGCCATGACCAAGGTTTGAAATCTCTGAAACTAGAGTTTACTCCTTAAGACCTGAGTGAAATTCTGTATTTTCAGGCATGTGTTTTTGTTATTCAAGTCGGAAAAGAAACAAGAGATTGTACTTTATATTGGGCTCAGTGCAGAGCTAGAGTTCTTGGCGAGACCACATGAAGTATTGTTTCAGAGGCCACTGCAAGGAGCTTTGCCCCATTCAGAGCTTCTGTTTCATTGAATCGAATCTGGCTGGTTTTTTCCCCCCAACCCATCCACAGCAAGGTTGGGGTGGACAAGGATAATCCTCGAACAAGGATGATAAAGGAATGATGAAAAGGAAGATGGTCCCAAAGACATAAGTCATTCATTTTTTTTTTTATTTAAGATTTATTTATTTATTTGAGAGAACGCTTGGGGCATAGGGAGAAGGAGAAAGAATGTTAAGCAGACACTGAGGGGCTCAATCTCACGACCCCGAGATCACGACCTGAGCTGAAACCAAGAGTCGGACGCTCAACCGACTGCACCACCCAGGCGCCCCGATAAGTCATTCTTTAAGTGGCCAGACATGATAAATTTGAAATGAGGAAAGGGAAGCAGGGAGTCGGGGATAAAGGCTGTAACTCCTTCCAGGTGCTTGGGAGGAGCGTGCCATGCCATCAATAGGTTGAGCCGCTCATGTTTTTCAACTGTTTTTGTGCAGGCTGCGGATTTAACGTGAGTAACAGTAACCCTACCATCTGCATCAATGATCTCATCACAGAATACAATAAACAGCACAGGGCAGAGCTGAAGCCCTTAAGAACCGACAGTCTCATTGCCAGAACTGTGACCATGCTGGAGAAACTGATCGACACATTTCAGGACAAAGGACCCAATGGCGTTCTTCCTCTTTATTATAAGTACTGGGTACACAGGTCAGTGCTGGCCTGTCTTCATTCTTTTAACGTGTCTTTAAGTGAGTAGTTCAGTATCTTAAAACAAGAAACTAAGCACAGGTCTAGGTGATTTTTTTTTTTTTAAGATTTATGTATTTTAGAGAGAGTGTGCAAGCAGGGGAAGGCACAGAGGGAGAGAGAGTCTCAAGCAGACTCCACACTGAGCACAGAGCTCAGCGCGGGGCTCGATCCCACGACCCCAACGTCAGGACCTGAGCTGACACCAAGAGTCGGATGCTTAACCGACTGTACCACTCAGGTGCCCCTAGATAATTATTTTTTACCTTTCTGATGGAGAAAACTGGTGTCCACCACGTTGAGCGAGTTACCATCAGCAATCCCAGGATGAACCAGCATCCCGTGCCTGCTGGTGGGATGCTGTGGGAAAGGACACAACCTCACCCGAGAGTTTTCCACGTGTCTGGTTTAAGTGGAGCCTAACTCGAGGAAACAGACACATGTTAAATTGTAGAACATTCTAGATAACAACAGTTTTCAAAGTGAGATCCCCAGGGGGCGCGGGAGCACCCTCACCTGGGAACATGTTAGAAATGCACATTCTCAGGTTCCACCCTGGGCCTCCTAAATCAGAAACTCGGGCTGGCTGATCATTCGTGTTTTAACACGTGCTCTAGGGGCTCCTCGTGCACCCAGAGCTTGAGAAGCACTCTGGTGAATACCAGCAGGCCTCTAATGCATCAGAAATGTCCATGTCTTCACACACAAAAAATAAAAAGAAGATTGGAGATTTGTTAGAGATTAAAGAGGCATGACAACCAAAAGCAAAATGTGATTCATAATTAGATCCTGGATGGGAGGAAATTGCCACAAACGATATTAATGGGACAATGGGGGAAATTTAAACATGAACTCTATACTAGATGTTATTATATGGAGATTAGATTTCTTGAGGGTGATAATGGTATTCTGGTTTTGTGGGAGATTGTTCTTAGGAGGGACATGCTGAAATATTTAAGTATAAAGTGTTATGATGCCTGCAACTTATTTTTAAATGTCAGCAAAAAAGCATGTGTGTGTGCATGAAGAGGGGAAGCGAATATGGAAAATGTTATCAGTTGGTGTGAATATAAGTGAAGGGGGATTCTGGGAGTCATTGGCCTATTTCTTCAACTCTTCTGTAGGTTTTAAATTCTTCCAAATAAAAATGAGTGGCGGCTGGGGGGGGGGGGTGACCTATATTTTAAAAACTTTAACAAGGATGTAACTCAACAGGTACATTTGGAGAACATTAAAAGAAGCAGTGTTAGAGTGAGTTTAACTTGCCGTTGATGGTACCCCAGCTTCGTTTTAGAAAATGGGCTTTCCAACTCAGCTTCTTTTTCCCCAATCTCAGCCCAAACCCCTAGAATTGCACAGTGGTTCTTAAAAGTGCTGGAGGGCGAGGAAGTGGGGCAAATCATCATCCAGATGATTGGAATTAGGAGAAAGGCCACCCTCCCTATTGGAATTCCCATCACCCTGATTCTTCTAATAGTTATCAAAACAGTTCATGTGGGACCAGTGAAAGTCGGAGCATTTTATCTCGCCCACCCCCTTCCTGTAGCGCCCCCCATCCCTCTGCTGGAGGGGTGAGTACTTAGCAACCTGTCTCTAGACGCTGCATTACCTTTCCCACTGACGCTCTGCTGTTCTTCACATACAGTGGCCAGCGGGTCCGCCTGGGAGACCTCGAGGGGCCAGAGGTGTGGATAGTCGGCCTGGATGACTCCGGGTTCCTTCAGGTCCAGGAGGAGGACGGTGAGGTGGTGACCGTGCATCCCGACGGCAATTCCTTCGACATGCTCAGAAACCTGATCATCCCCAGACAGCAGTAGCCGGGCCTGGGGCCTGCCTGGGGCCAACGGGTAGTGGGAGGGCAGGCAGAGCCACCCCAGCGAGCATTCCGGTTAATTCCTGCCACCTTTCCTAGCCTGATGATCTGGAAGACGGATTTAGAGTTGTAGGTGAACGTGGCCTCCCTCCAATTAACCTGCTCAATTCCTTAATGTTGTTCTGTCTGTTGCCATTTTACTTGGCGTTCGCGAATGTTCTGGGGCAGAGGGATGACAAGCAGAAGATTTAGCTCAGGTGAAGCACCACCACACGTGTGAAATCCTTCTCCCCTCTTGGGCTTGGATGTGTGTTTATTGGCCACCCCCCCAAAAAAAGTTTTTTTTTTTTAAAGATTTTATTTATTTATTTGACAGAGAGAGGTAGCGAGAGCAGGAACACAAGCAGGGGGAATGGGAGAGGGAGAAGCAGGCTTCTTGCTGAGCAGGGAGCCCGATGTGGGACTCGATCCCAGGACCCTGGGATCATGACCTGAGCCGAAGGCAGACGCTTAACGACTGAGCCACCCAGGCGCCCCCCAAAAAGTTTTTATTTGGAAAACAGCAACGGAATAATTCAGATGTTTCCCCAGTAGTGGAGACCTTCACTCCCAGACTATTAGAAAACAAATCAAAAAAAGCTTCCAGGTCCAGGCCAGCGATGAGGTAGAGGTTTGGTAACACTGTTTATGTGCATCCAGGGAGGCGTTTTCCTCGAGGAACATACGTTGGCACTTGGTCGTTGTTTTATTTTTTTGTTAATAAGAGAACAGATGGTAGACTTCTGAGCGTTACCTCTGGGCCCGGTGGTTTGTGGTCCCGCAACAGGGCCTGAGTAGCTGCTGAGATGGGGGTCACTGGTGTGGTTGCAGTGACCCTGGTAGAGGAAGTCGGTTACTTACTTCGACAGTAATTGTATGAGCTCTTTTTCATAAGTTGGAATATACTGCAGACTCTGAAGGGATGGGCCCAAGTTCAAGATCCTTAATGCGTTGATGAGGCCTCGTGTGCGTGTGGGGGTTGATGATTGGGCCCTAAGAGCTGGAGACAAGGACTCACTCATACCACACACCAGGGAGGATTTGGAACCTTTAAGCCTGTTGTAGGCTCACTTTGAAAGCTGGAGCATTCCTGAAAGACCGTTTGGTGCACAGAATGTAGAAGTACGTGGCATTTTATCCGTAACTCATAATTTTTTGCCCCCCTTTCCCTAAATTGCCAAGAAACAAAATGCAACTGATACCGAACACCATCATTTAAGAGGGAGGGGTGTGTGTGTGTGTGTGTGTGTGTGTGTGTGTGTGTGTGTGTGTGTGAGAAGCTTTCAAAGAAGATGTTCAAGATCTGATGCCCTAAAAGTCTCCGTGGAAGAACAAAAGAAAGGAAACCTTTTGATATGCATTTGCGATTTCCAGATGCACTCCATGCTTTTTCCATGTCACTCCTATCTCTGCTGAACTTGTGAATCACACATTACTTTTCTCCCTTAAAAGGCCAATTTTTTGTCCACTTTTCTCTCTTCCTGCCAGTCCCAACTGAAATTAGTGGAAGGAAAACTTGATGGAGCCCTCAGGTTTGAACAGAATCCCCTTATTGTATACTAGCATGAGCTCTACCCAGCTTTACCCAGTCAGGCTAATTCCAGAAACTTGTGGTTTTCAGTATAAAATCTGCCTACCTTTAGCCAGGCGCAGGCAGCCCATAGGAAGGGGAAAAAAAATAGCATGTTTAGTTAAGTACACCCACCCAATATGTGTTTTTTGGAAATGTAACTTTAAAAGAACTTCAGAAGTAATTTTTGCAAATAAGGCTTCCATTAGAATCATTTTTCTCAAAAAAAAAAAAAAAAAATTGCTCCGTCCTAAGTGTCCAAGTCTTCTTTTGGAACGAGTGACACATTTCAGTAAAAGCCCACAGCACCCCAAAATCACCAAATGGACTCACCCCTTGAGAGGGCATCTGCAAAATATCAAGAGGAAAGATGTCCAGGCTAATGTTGCAAGTTTCATTTCTCCAACTTTGTAATACAAGGCAAGTCATCTCTCAGAGCTGCCATTGTTACTGTTTGAATTTCTTTGGGGGGTTCTTTAATGAAAAACACGCTATGTTTTGTTTTAAGCTGAAGTCTCATTCTAGACAGTTCTGCTTTGGGGGAAAAAATGTTATCATTTAATTTCCTTTCTGTAAATTAAAACTAATGATGTGTGGCCGTGTCAGGGCAGATGGAGATGTTCCGGGCATACCACTTGATCTCTGTGCTTTCAAGACTGTTTCTTACTTGTGCCGCCCCGCAGTTGTCTTGAGGGAGACAAAATAGACTTGAAGCAGATGCTACGTTTTCCGTAAACACGATCTTGCCTCGTATGAACCAAAGACTTTTGAAATTCTGCTTCATATAGAACAGCTGAATAAAACATCTTCCTTAGAGCTATTCACGTTAGGGACATCATCTACTTGCTACACCACCCTCATGGACTGGGGGTCTTCATGCACCTGGCCATCTCTGATCTCAAGGAGCTTTAAAGTCTTAACAGAAGTGTTGCATTTTCTTCATAGTCTTTAAAACGTGGCAGCTGAACTCAGGATTGGCATGTGCTTCCAGGGCACTGGATTTGCTCGCAAGTTTAGGGGCTGCGCCTGGAGCATCTACCTGGTTATGTAAAAAAAAAAAAAAAAAAAAAAAAAGGCAAGACCTCCTCCCTTCCTGGCTGGCCGCAGATTTCAGGGGAAGGGGAAGCCGTGGGAAAGCGCCCCCTGAATGTGCATAAGGAAGTTTTCCCTCGAACACATTTTGTTTTCCAGAAGGCCTTCCCGTGTCCCCTGCCAAAGCAGTGCCCCTTGACCCTGGGCAAAGTTGAAGGATTTTGTGTCCGGTCCAAAATAGTAGGTGGGGTTCACTCCTGCAGGCTTTGCCCGGTGTGGGAACAAGTGGGCCGATGGGGGGCGGGGCGTGCCGGCCAAGGTGGGGGGAGCATGCAGCCTCCAGTCCCCGGGCCCCGCACATACACCCGTGGGGGTGGCCTATGTAGTTGCCCCTGCCCTCGAGCCTGGGAACCAGGAAAGGAGCCAGCCTCATCCAGGGGCTTCAGAATGCAGCAGGGAGACATTTTTGGCTTGCATTCTGGAAGATCTGTTTGCTCTTACCAGGCAGAACACGGAGAATCCTTATTCCTGGGTTATGACTATGCACATCTGAAATTTTAAAAAGTGTAAGCCTCTGCATTTGTACCTTTTCGAAGAATCGTCTCAGAAAAGTGATTACTTTAAACCAATGCCTATAAGAAGCAAGTCTACCAAAATAAACATCAAGATTTTCTGTAGAGTTTGTGCTCATTGTTATTTTGACCGTAAGTTTTATTTTTAAAAATAGGCATCTACTCTTGGTTATAGTATCTTTATTCATATTTAAACATTTTTACAAAATAAATAGTTTTACATAGTAAGGAATACGTATGTATTTCTAAGTATTGAGAAGTCGGGTGCTTTTTTTGTTGTTTTTGATTTGTTTTTGACAAATGTGTTGTGTCATACAAAAGAGAAATTTATTTACTCCAGAGAATGAAAGTTAGCAAAACCCAAAGTAAAAAAACCCTTTTAACTGAGGTGAGAAATAAATTTAATATAACCATTTAATATAAATTTTAAATTGAAAAATAAATTTAATATAACAAACTTACTATAAGAACAGATTATGTTCTTGTAGAGCTGTTCTTACTCTTCTGTAAGAACTGCTTGACTTTTGAGGTTTTTCCCCCAAGATTTTAACCTTATATATCATACTTAAGTTAGGAACAGCTTGAATAATGCCTCTTTGATAACCCAAGGGCTACAATTCACTAAGATTTTAAACTACTGTAGTTTTCTGGCATTTATTTGAAAATGTTTTTTTTATCCCATTTTATCTGTAGCAGCCCCCACAGTCTACCTTAACTGTCTTACAGTTACAACAAAATTACAACTTCGGGTAGACTTTGTATAGGATTTATTGACTGTATAAACCTCTCCCGCCCTTAGGGTCCAAGGGGGAAGGCTTGGCCATAGGACTTTAAAAAGGACAATGGGGTGGGGGGTGAGGGGTGCAAAATACCCAGCTCTTGCAGATTTCCTCAGAACAGCCTTCTTCACACCCTGTTCCCTTCTCTACAAAGGTATGAATGGAATGGCTTTTCTAGAAAGGGCTTCCATGAACATAAAGGAATTCCTTTCCCTGGGAGGCCCCTTGGAGGGCCCGGCCAGTCTTGAACTGGGTTTATTTCTCAAATCCTTTTGATCTGGCATTTTTGTCAACATGTTAGGACCCACTACAATTTTCTTTCTTTTCTTTTTTCTTTCTTTCTTCCTTCCTTCCTTTCTTCTCTTTCTTTCTTCTTTCTTTCTTTTTTGTGAAAGAGAGTCATATTTATTAAAATGCTTCCTCTTCCCTGCCGGAGCCTCACAGAAGTCAAGAAATGATAGCCCCAGCTTAAATGTGCAGACTTTTAAAGGTGGAGGTAACAATATTAGGTTGCCATGGTAACTCCTGTTAACTTCGCACTGAGCTGCCGGCCGCCTGGAAGCCGGCTTGCATAGGAATCTTCCTTCGTGTTCTAGGCTATGAAAACCCCGATGTTTGTTTAGACAAGGAAGTTTTCCCTAGTACACATTTCATTTTTCAAGTTTCATTTTAAGACTATTTACGTTATCATTTGCAAACCTATAATGGTCTTATTTTTTCACGGTAACTTTTGATCTTAAACTGCTGGAGAGCCTTCGTGGTTTGTATTTACTAATGAACACAGACCCAGTGATTAATAACAAGGTAGACACAAACGCATTTTGTGGTACTTTATTGAAAAATGTCAGGTGATATCGCCTGCTCATCAAACCCGCTCCTTTCAGGAATCCTGGTTTAATGACGAGACTTGTAAGCATAAAAAAATAATACCCCAGGCTTATTTTTATTTTCTGTGTGCACAAAGAGCTGCTAATGAGGTATAGCTAAGTGCAGTATAGAGGTGTATGCGTTCGATTCTTAGGACTCAGTCCCTTTGCTGCGACACACATGTTCCTAAATTTGCAAATGTCACCCCCTACCATAAGGCTACTGATGATGCCCTGCTAAGAATGAGGCAGACCCTCAGTGTGACACTAGGTTGGCAAGCAGTCACCTCACATTTTGCAAACCATCATATATAGGTGCCCCTTGATTCCAGAACGATGAATTGAAGACATTTGTGAAAAATCTTTCCACTCAGAAAGGCGCAGAGTTTCCTAAAAGAAAACCATTTTGGAAGCAGGGCAATGAGGGAGTGTTAGAGTGTGGAGCAAATTGAAACGCGGTGGTTATGCATCAGTCCATTTCAGAGCCATGGTAGGATTTTTAAATGGTGAGATCTTGAAGCAAAAATATAAAAGACAAAAATGAAAGGAAGTTTATTTTTAAAACACTGCTGGTGCTTTATAAAAGGATTTCTGTTCACCTGTCACATACAGGACATGTTCATAGGGTTTTCTTGCTATGCAGGAAATGCTGAAGAAAATGTATACACCATTTTTATACCATCCCTCTAGCGAGTTTTCTTCCACGAGGGCGCAGTCCATTGACAATTTTCCATATTGCACATGCAATTTAACTAACTTTATTAGCATTACTTGTAGCAAACGCGAGCCTGGGGAATTACAGGTCTGTGTGGGCCGGAGGGATGTTGCTTGCGAATCAAACCCGACAGGGGTAGCCAGTCGCCTTGGGCACCTCATCACCATCCACATGTCATTCTCAGAAAACATCTGGCTCTCTGTATTTCTGCATTTCATGCCTATCCCATATATTCGGAAGATGCTATTCTTGGTGCTATCAGGAGTTCACAGGGGTTAGGAGGAAGTAAAAGCTCATGAAGGTGCTTTTGAGGCGCATCCATGTTCATTCGCTCCCTTGGTCTCGGCTTGCGGATGTTTGCACTGAAAAAAGGCTTAAATTAAAACGACAACAACTTTTCATGAGACTCGTGAACGCCTTGTGAAGTCAGAGCTGTCGATGGTGGGGCTTCGATCATCACAGCCTGCCTTAAGCCTCTAGGGCGCCCCGAAGTCAGGAGGCGTCCTCCTTCCAGGTGCGCCGCGGCCCGGCGTGTCTGACTGTATCAGGCGGGGCTCTCCCCTCTACGGGGGCGGCTCTCGCCGGGGTGGAAGCTCCTGCAGTCCCCCGGTGGGACCGCTACTGCGCCTCGGGGACAGGGCGAGGCGCGCGAGCCTGAGGTCCAGGGGAGGAACCCAAGCCGGCCCCCAAGACGGGGCAGTTTGAGGTCGCACGTGGGACGCGGGCGGCGCTCAGCTCTGCCCCTCGGAACCCGGCTCTCGGAGAACAAGGGTCTGGGGGGCCTTTCTCCCCGCCCCCCCCCGCCACCCCAGCCTCGGGCCGCGCCGCAGTCCCCTGCCCCGGCCTTGGGGGGATCTACGTCAAAATCTAGAAGGCGGCCGCGGCGTCCTATTAAAACAGTCGTCTCTGTATAAATTAATTTAAACCGTGCATGTACAGCTCGCCCCTCGTAACTCGGCTGCGCTCTGGAGAACGGGAGCCCGAGGCCTGGCCTGTGGCTTCTCCCTGCGGGCAGCCCTGCGCGACGTCACCTGCCGTTGGTGATGATGACCGAGGCGCCCAGGTAGTGCGGCAGCGGCGCGCCGGGCGGCGAGGCGGCGGCGGGGCCGGGGGGCCGGGGCCGCAGCGCGCCGGCCGCCGCCTCGGGGGCGCCGGGGCGGCAGGCGAGGGCGGGCGCGCCGGGCACAGCGCCCCCCAGCGGCCCGCGCCGGGCCAGCACGCGGTGGTAGTTGAGCAGCACGAAGGGCAGCTGCGCAGGCGCGCCCGGGGGCTCGGGGGCCGGCGGCGCGCAGCACTCGGGCGCCGCGCGGGCCAGCGCCAGCCGCGCCCCGTCCCGGGCGGCCTGGCGGGCGGCCTTGGCCGGGCCCAGCGCGGGGTCCTCGCGGTAGTGGCCGCAGCTCGGGAAGCTCGGCGGCGGCGGCGGCGGCGGCGGCGGCGGCGGCGCGGTGTCCTCGCCGAACCTGCGCGCGGCGGCGGCGGGCGCTGCGGGGACAGGCGACACGTTAGACGCCCGCGCGGGGGAGGAAGGGGAGCAGCCCAAAGCAGCACCAACCCGGCGGGTCCGGGCGCGGCCACCACCACCCCTCGGCCACCCGCGCCGCGCGCGCCGCCCACGCAGCCGCCTGGGCCCCTTGCCCTGCGCGCCCAGGTCCGCGCCGTCGGTGGCAAGCTGCAGCCTGCAGCCCGCGGCGCTCTGGCGGCCGCGTTAAGGAGCGGAGAGCAGCAGGTGCAGTTCCCGGAAGCCGTCGCTCCGTGGGACGCCGCCCATCCAACGGGTTCCTTCCGTGTCCAGTCAGTACTCTTACATGACGGAGGTGCCTGGTTCGTTGTTTCTGCCGCCCAGGCGGCACCCCTCACTGCCCGGGCCACATTCCAGTGCGCAAGAGCCGCACGTGCCTACTGGCTGCCGTACTGGACGGCGTTGGTCTAGAGGCTTCCACCGCCTGACGGGTCAGGTGGCCCCAGTCAACCCTGTTTCTTTTCTTGTTTTCTTTCGCTTAGTGGGGAGGGTGGGGTGGTAATCCCGCCCGCTCCTTTTCGTGCCGTCATAACTAAAGTTATGGCCACCCTCACCAATCAGGTGCCTGCAATCAGTTAGCGCCCTATGGTTTGGTTTGGTTTGTTTTGTTTATTTTACCTTAAGACAACCTTTGTCTTCCTTTAATATCAAAAAAGACTACGAAGTAGATCACAAATTGCCCCCAGATTAGCACCTTTGGTCCATTTTTACCAAGTGTATGACAAATGAACTCCTTATTAATCCCCCTTTCACTTCCAAAATAGCAATTTAAAAAAATATATAATACTGTGTGTGAGTTATATCACTGGCCAGCATCCACACGCTAAGAAAAAGAATTCTTTCAGGTCAATCTCAAGTGAATAATATTTTCAGCTGTTATCAAAATGCTTAGCTTTGTCTTTCTTGTCGTCCGGGGAAATCCCTTCCTTGGTTCTCTGAGTGATCCAGTAGCTGATGGTTCTCTCTCCAAATCTGAGAAACTGGTGGCATAAGGACTGGCCCAGGCCAGAAGGCAGGGCTGCACTGCCCTAGTCACTGGCGTGTTCTTTTCTAAGCTGGCTACTTTTGAAAAGCATGTCCTAGTAATCTCCAACACGGCTAGCTTTCTCCCACAGTCTATCCCTCTTCTCAGATTGAGAGACGAAATGGGTCTCCGCCTTGTAAAGACAGAGTCTGAGCAAGAGACTCCCCAAGCAGCCCGAGGAGGAACAGAGCCTTAACTGCCTCCAGAGAGGGAAAGTAGAGTGGGGAAGGAGGGGGCCCCGGAGAGCTCTCCTCTTTAGGCAGGTGCTTCTTTTCTGAGCATGTAACATTTACCCCGAATGTAGTAGCCCTTGCAGGAAATTCGCACCATCTTGGGCTACCCTCTGAGCAGTAGTTAGTTCTGCGCGAAACAGGAATATACCTTTCGCAGCTACCCCTCAACCCCCACCTACCCTCTGCCTGGGGGTTGGTCCAGGGAGCAAACGGGAGTCTGCCGGGCCTGGGGAAGCTGGTGGCACATCCACGGAGGACATTTGCTTGTCTGCCACAAGGAAGAGCTGGGGTAGGGGCCATTCCTGTCTCTCTCTTGTTGAACCAGCAGTGCTGGGCAGGCACCTACTGTGTGCCAAGCCCTGGGGTAGTAGGCATATTGTATAGGTTATGATCCCATTTTACAGATGGAGAAACTGAGTCGTGTTTATGTTGTTTGCCCTGGGTTGGTGAGTGACATTTCTGTGTTTGGGCTCATGAATTTCTGCCACTGTTTTCCACACTTTGAAAACTGGCGTGGGGAGAAAACCAACAGCGCCCCATATTCATTTTTGGGTGGAGGGGAAAACTAATCTTGTAAAAGAAATGCGGCTGGAGCATTCTCAGTACCTGGGAGCTGGGTTTGAAAATCACTTTGTCTCTCTCTTGGGGAGCAAACGAGGTCAGGGTTTCTGTGGAGGGTGGCTGAACCCCCCCCCCCGGGTTCCTCTGCCCTCTATCCTGTCACCGGCACCACGAGAGGTACACGGACTCGGTCACCCTGCTCGTCTCCCTCTTGCGAAGCCGCTTCCCATCAAGAGCAGGAAAGCACAGGAATTCCTACTTACAAGCAGGAAAAGGAAAAGTTGGCCCAAAGTGTGAGGATCAGTTTTCCATCTGCCACCCACCGCCACCACCGCTGCTGTTCACAGTCCTGCCCCCTCCCCTCGTGCGAACATGACCCACCTTCATAGTTTGGCATGAGGCCGTGCCGAGCAGCGTTCACCGGTGGCTCGGAGAGGTTTTTAGCTGGAGACGGGCTGCTAGGCACTAGGGGGTTGGCGTAATGCCACTGGCATTCACCACTGGCTGGCAGGGTGCTCAGGAACAAGCGTGCCACCTCACACGGGGATCCTTGGGGCTGCCCGAATTTGGCCGGCAACACTGGCTTTTTGCTGCTGAAGACGTGAGAGTCCAGAGGGAAGTGTCCATAATGGTAGGAGAAGGGCAGGCTGTAGGACGGGGCGTACAAAAGGTCGCTGCTTTCTGAATGGAGCTGCTGTTCTGGGGGCGCCAGGGCGTTCGCCGGGGGGCTGGCTCTCCAGTTTGCCAGCTGGCTGCATTCCAGTTTGTCCATTTGGAACGAGCTGTATTGCTGTTTGGCAAAGAAGATGGATGAAGGGGCCAGTGAGAAGCTGCCCTCCGGCCTCACCAGACCCCACCCTCTAGGTTTCAACCGCGTCCCTGGGCTGGGCCTACCCTGGTCACTGCCGTGAGGTCCCAGTGGGGACAGGTGCACAGCAAACAGTACCACAGTGACCCTCCCCCTGCGTGGAACGAGCTCTCCCCAGCCCAAGCTGACCACATACCAGATACACATAGGCACTTTCTCTTTCTGAGACGTTACAAACTACTTTTTTTTTAAAGGAAGGTTTTCATTAAAAAACAAATGCTATGGAGGGGCGCCTGGGTGGCTCAGTCAGTTAAGCGGCTGCCTTCGGCTCAGGTCATGATCCCAGGGTCCTGGGATCGAGCCCCACATCGGGCTCCCTGCTCGGCAGGAAGCCTGCTTCTCCCTCTGCCACTCCCTCTGCTTGTGTTCCCTCTCTTGCTGTGTCTCTCTCTGTCAAATAAATAAAATCTTTAAAAAATAAAAATAAATAAATAAAAAACAAATGCTATGGAAACACGATGCACTGTGCTCTAAGCCACATTAACGTGGATTCCAGCAACATGAGGTGCCTTCCTAATGCAGTCTTTTGTCCTAGACCCGACGAGTCCTCCCACATGTTAGCTTTGCGTGCCTCCAGGCTGTGTCTCTGCTGTGTGTGGGGGACATCCCCAGGGGACTCGGCCGCACCGCACAGGGAAACTTCTGGGCCGGGAGACCCGCTCTGCAGTCAGAGGCTCAGCATTCCCAGACGGGCTGGGGGTCCTGAGCAGCCCCTGGGCCAGGTTTCTGCTGCACCCTGCCCCAGCAGGTCCCGCGTGTTACCTGTAGGGGGTAAGGGTTTGTTCTCAGCTTTGTCTTCATCTTCGTATTTTTGGGTTTAGCTAATTTCCTAGTTTCTTGTGAGGTAGACAAGGCAGTCCTCCAGGAGTCCTGGCACTTGGACGTAGACACCTGGTCCAGGGACAACTGCAGTTCCTTGTATTCGATATCCCTGAGAAGCAAGGGCAGGACAAATCATGTCCAGCAGGCTGCCCTGGAAGAGCGGCTTCCCTGGCCCGCACCCCCGAGCGAGCGCATTCACAGAACTCCAGCACAGCGGCTCACTGAGGTTGGATGGGACAGGACTTGAGCAGAGGGCAGGCCACCCTCATGATAAAAGCCCCCCCACCCCCACCCCCAAAGGCTTGGGCAATGCTGAGTGAGGTCAGTGTTATCCAGCAGGAATAGCGGGCGGGGGGGGGGGGGGGACGGTCACTGTAGCTCTCTCGCATCCTGTAGCTCCCAAACACGTTTCCCTGGGACACCATGGGCCACGAGGAAGTGTGTCAGGGCAAAAGGAAAGGGCAGAAGCATTACTTATCAGTTTGGGTATCTGGGACTCAGCTGCTTCTTTAGTTAGCACCCAGGGGGGCGTGAGTGGGGGACCGTCAAGGGTCCGGGAGCCTGGCTGCCAGCCTAGCGCATTTCCACAACAGGCGCCGGTTTCTGCCCTAAAGAACTAACTCAGCATGGTTGTGTTCATGGTTGGAGGGGGGCGAGGAAGTTGCCCAAAGTACCAGCCCACACCTGTCTGCTTAGGAAGAATCATTAAGGGGCTAAAATGCTTTCTTCCCTACAGTTTTGCTAAAATCACACTCTAGTTCTAAAAAAAACAAAACCGAACCAAGAAACCAGGGACCTGGCAATCATTCTGTGAAAGAACTGAGAGCCTAAATCCTTACTGCCTTAGAGCACACTTGAGGACCTTGTTCAGGGTGGGGCTGGGGGGCTGCAAGGGTATCAAGTTCAGGGCCAGAGCTGGGTGCAGGTGATTTCACATACAGTAGCCATGGTGGGTCCACAGTAATATATGGTCCCAGGGAGACTCATGTCCTCTTGTGCCTAATGGTCTTAAAAGTATTTGCAACTGAACTTGACCTTCTGGGATTCTAAAGGGGCCATTCATCATCATCTGCAACGGGCTATACAGAAAGAGAGGGAAAAAATGCGAGATATCTCCTGTCCCGCACGGCAGGAGCATGCAAGATGACCCTGATGTTTGTGGGCACAAAGAGCGTAAATTTATATTCCTGATGTACAGCCTATGCAAGATGGAGGGAGAGGACATCTCCCACCTGTTCCTGCCCCCCCCCACACCCCTCAGCTGGTCTCTGTGATCTGATCTTCAGCTGTACCTGGGGCAGGGCTCCCTTTCTGGTGTTCCCCCCCCACTGCCTAGCATCTGGCTCTCTGTGCTGAGAACAGAAATAGTTTGTACCTTCCCAAACGAACAGATTGTTCAAATAAAAACAACAGGAGACAAATGAACAGTTTCGGAAAGAGAGAGAGAGAGGTAGAGATGGTGCTTGTGGGAGCGGGCTGATGAGGGACAGGGGAGGAGGAGAGAGCAAGGAAACAAATACGTCTGACTTACGTGAGGACATAATTGACACTCACGATGCAGTGTGGCCGGGACGAGCGGCTGTTGTGCACGACAGTGGCGTAGCTCTGCACCCACACCCAGCCACCCAGCTTGGACAGCAGCCGGTAGTACTTGGTGGTGACCTGGCCCTTCACCAGCACTGCAAGCACAAGGTGACATGAATCCCGAGGGACAATTAGGCCCTGCTTTGGGGACACTGCCCCCATGGATAACCTGCAGCCCCGGTTCTGGACCTTTTTGGGGTCAAGGACACCTCTGAGAACTTGACAAAGGAATGGGCTCCACGGGAAGGTGCATGCTTGCACGCGCACACACACACGCACACGCAAGATTTTTGCCTACAATTTCAAGGGGTCCGAGGAGCAATCTCTCCCCTCCCCTGTCAAATTTAATAGGCACTGATTTCATTGGGAAAAACAATTAGTCCCCGTACAACATTTGCACCTGGCAGAGTGATAAAATTGGCTCTGCTTTTCAGTTTCCCAAATGCCACGATTATGTTATAATCCCCCAAACCCTTAATCCCCAAAACCCTTAATAGGCACCAGGGGGAGGGGGTGATGTAGTTATTTAAACAAAATAATAAGTACATTCAACCAAGTGTCAAATTGTTGATATTTGCTGCTCTCCAGAACATGTGTGTATTCACAGTGAGACTGCTATTCTGTTGCCTTTTATATTTTCTTTCCATTAGCCCCACTTTTCCTCTGGCCTGTCAATTTCCTGTGTTGCATATGTAGGAAAGAACTCTCTTGGCTAGTTTCTGAACACTGGGCAGATGGGGCCATCTTCCATGCATGGGTGCAAACTCCTGAGTGCTGAGCCACGCTCACTTCCAAAGCCTCTGTACTGATTTCCCTCAGGGCCTGGAGGGCACAGGCTGGAGGGGAAAGGAAGTGCCAGAAGCTTTGGGTGGGCAGTGGAGAGGAGGAAGTCCCAGTTAGTCTTCTGCACGGAGGGGGAGGCCAGTACAAATCTAAAAGGCATCCCTTGATGCCCAGGTCATGGCTATCGGGCATTCCTGCTTTTCAAAGCAGGGCTGGGCCCAGGGCTCTAACTAGCAGCCACCTGAGCAGAGATTTCGGGAGGTGGCCAAATTCTGTGCCTGCACTAGTTGGCACTGAAGGAGCCCCCTGGGGGCCCTCATCTTGTGCCACTAGGCAGAGCCCCCTCACCATCTGCCCAAACCTTCCTGGGGCTCTCCACTGCTTTTGTGGCTTCTTTTTGTATTAAGGGTGCTTCTTTATCATCCACTTTAACACCTGCAGTAAAATATTCCGGTGCAGAAGAAAAATTACTGCAAATATGATAGTCAAAGAGCTACTAACCTTAATATAGAAAGAATTCATACAGATCAATGAAAACAGTAAGACCCTAAAAGTTATATGAGAAAAGGACCTGAACAAACAATTCATCAAAGAATATAAATGATAAACAAATGTTCAATGTATTTGCTTAACTCAAAGCTAGATACCATCCATTAAATCAGCAGACATATAAAAAGAAAAAAAATATTGTATGGTTCCATTTATGTGAACTGTCCAGAATAGGTACATTTATAGAGACCAAAAGCAGATTAGTGGTTGACAGAAGCTGGGGATGAGGAGGACCCCGAGTGACTTCTGATGGGTACCAGGGTTCTTCTTGGGATGAAGAAAATGTTCTGGAATTCAGTAAAGGTGATAGTTACACGACATTGTAAATATACTGACAACCTCTGAAAATGGTTAAAATGGTGAGTTTTAGACTATGTGGATTGTATCTCAAAGAAAATAATGAAAAGACAACAGGTGATGTCAACTAATCTATTGTGGGCGGCATTCTCACATGTTGATAGAAGCATGAGTTGGTACGGTCCTTCTGGGAAGCAGTTTGACGGCTCATATGCATTGACACACTGACTTCACTTCCAATAACTAATCCTATTATAAGCAGTCCTGCTTATAATTCTGGAGAAAAAGGAGGGGGAGACCTGACTGCCCAAGAATTAGGGAAGATGGTAAATAAATTTTGGAGTACTATGCAGCTATTGGAATAATGATTAATAAGAATTTGTAATATAATGGGGAATCTGTATGGTATAATGATAAATGAAAAAAAGACACATTCAAGACCACAGAAATACAAAGATCATATGAGACTGCTATGAACAATTACATGCCAACAAATTGAACAACTTAGAAGAAATGGATAATTTGCTGGAAACATAAAACCTATGAAGACTGAATGATGAAGAAACAGAAACTCTGAACAGGACTGAAGGGATTGTAAGGGGATTGAATCAGTGATCCAAACCTCCCAACAAACAGAAGTCCAGGACCAGATGGCTTCACTGGTGAATTCACCAAATGCTTAAAGAAGAATTAATACCAATCCTTTTCAAACTCTTCAGAAAATCAGAGGAGGAGGGAACACTTCCAAACACATTTATGCGGCCAGCATATCCCTGATACCAAAACCAGACAAGGATACCACAAAAAAGGGGGAAATTATAGGCCAATATCTCTGATGAACATAGATGCAAAATCTTCAACAAAATACTAACAAACTGAATTCAATACATTAAAATGATCACACACCAAGATCAAATGGGATTTACTTCCAGGATGCAAGATGGTTCAATATCTGCAATCAATCAATAGGATACACCACATTAACAAGGTGAAGGATAAAAATAGATGCAGAAAAAGCATTTGACAAAATTCAACACCCATTTATGATTAAAAAAAACACCTCTCAAAGTGGCAATATAAATGTCCACTGCACATAATAAAGGCCATCTATGACAAGTTCACAGCTAACACCACACTCAACAGAGGAAAGCTGAAAGCTTTTCCTCTCAGATCAGGAACAAGTCAAGGATGCCCACTCTCACCACTTTTATTCAACATAGAATCAGAAGTGCTAGCCAGAGCACTTAGGCAAGAAAAAAAATAAAAGAATAAAAGGCAACCCAAAAGGAAAGAAAAAGTAAAACTGTCAGTATTTGCAGATGACACATTATATACAGAAAACCCTAAAGACTCAATCAAAAAACTCTTAAAACTAATAAATGAATTGAGCAAAGTTGCAGGATATAAAATCAACATACAAAACTCTGTTGAGTTTCTACACATTAATAATGAGCTATTAGAAAGAAAAATTAAGAAAACAACCCCATTTACAAATTACATAAAAAAGAATAAAATACCTAGGAATAAATTTAACCGAGAAGGTGAAAGACCTATACCCTAAAAACTACAAGACACTAATGAAAAAACTGAAGGAGACACAGATTAACGCAAAGATATCCCATGTTCATGGAGTGGAAGAATTCATATAAAATATCCATTCCACCCAGAGCAATCTACAGATTTAATGCAATCCCTTTCAAAATTTCAGTGTCATCCTTCAAAAAAAACCAGAACAATCCTAAAATTTGTATGGAAACCCCAAAATTCCTTAAAAGATGAAAAGCAAAAATAACAAGTGGTATTACATCTCAATAAAAAGTTTCTGCACAGCAAAGGAAACCATCAACAACATGAAAAGACAACCTACCGAATGGGAGAAAATATTTGCAAATCATATACCTGATAACTTTCTCATGCACCTATTGGCCAAGTTACTAACTAACAAGTTACTAACCCCCTGTGGCTCAGTTTCCCCATTTAGAACAAGAGGATAATCATACTCCCTACCTCACCCGGCTGCTGGGAGGATAGATAATCTGTGTGAAGCTTCAGAACAGCGGTGCAGACACAGAGCAAGGACTCGATATATGTTAACTCTCATTATCTGACTGGTCAAATTACAAGGAAGTTTCATTTTCTTCTCAGCTTTTCTTGATTGTCTACATTTCCAGCAATAAGGAGGTATTCGTTTTTTAATAAAAGTGAACAATTATTTTTCCCACGGCTAAGTAGTGTTGGGGGGTAGTTCGGGAAGTGGAAATGCAGCACGCCTCGGGCCCCACGCCCCTTACTTAGCCACACGACGGCCATCCCACCCAGACGAGGGGCAGGGCTCCCCGGGACAGTGCAGACACGAGCTCTCTTCTCCCCAGGCTTGGCACATGCACCTGTGTGGGCTCCCTCGGCAGGAGTGAGATTCCCTGCCGAAGAGCGCAGACAGAGGTAGTAGGAAAGAGCTCTCTTTACAATACTTCTCCTCTTGGGGTTTGCTTTTTTAACGGCAAAATCCAGTTTCTATTTCCAGCTCAGGTTTGCATGCATGGCTTCATTTCAGCTCCCTACAACCATGGGAGGCAGGCATCACTGGGAAAGTGGGGCCAACAAGTCTTATGGGCACAGCTGGAGCCCCAGGCTGGGTGTTCTGATGACTCCCTTTTCTCAGAGTGACCCCTGTGGGAGGAGGGGCAGCAGCCTCCAGAAGGTTCTCTGTAGCTACATTGAAAGGAGAGGTGGAAGGAAGGTTAAGGGAGACTCAACCAATTTGCTTTTGGCCCCAAATGAGATGTGAGAAGATCCAACAAGGGTCCCATGTGTGGATTTCCCAAGCGGCCATTCCTTCTTCAACAGAAGTGCTTATGAGGCAACTCAGCTTTGAAATCTGTTCCTAATGGTATCTGGAGCGCCCCCGGCGATAAGACCACATGCTTTTCCTTTTTCCTATATTGTCCCTTCCTTCCTTCCTTCCTTCCTTCCTTCCTTCCTTCCTTCCTTCCTTCAGAGAGAGAGAGTGAGTGCACATGTGCAGTGGGGAGGGGCAGAGAGAGGAGAGAGAATCCAAGTGGACTCCGCACTGAGCGTGGAGCCCAACATGGGACTCAATCCCATGACCCCGAGATCAGAACCTGGGCTGAAATTAAGATTTGGAAGCTTAACCAACTGAGCCACCCAGGCGCCCCCATACTTTCCTTATTTCTTACAACATTCCTAAAACCTATCCATAATCATCTAAGCCAGATACAATAAAGCCAGTTTATTCCAAATATTTTATATTAGGATTCCAATGGCAGAAGTTGCAGAGATTTTATTATTTCTGACCCTCCCTGCCTCTGTTGTGATGGGACTTAGATACGGAGACCAAACAGACATATAATTTTTTTTTTTTTTTTTTTGCTTCCCTATGACCCATGGTGAGAGTCCACATATCAATCCAAGTTGAAATCCTAGACACTTACAACATTCCCTGGTTTGCTCTAGCTCCCCCTCCAGTCTGTGGTTCTTAATTAGCTGCCTGAAATGATCCCAGGGTGGAGGACTATGAGGAAGGCCCTGCTTGGAGGTGATGGACGGGGGCAGGCTGGAGATGTCCCCTAAGCTGTAAGCTCTGTGCGCAGAGGCCCTGGCCCTGCAGCTTCCAGGCCACAGTATCTCCAACATCAAGGTCTAAGATGTTTCTTTAATCAGGGTGGCCCATGCTGAGATGGAAGCCAGTGGTCTTGGTTTTCTGAGGCCGCTTTGGGGTGGGAATTCTGGTTCCATGAATTTGCTATCCAGAAAAGTAGGTGGCCTGCCTGGTTCCTCCAGAATTCCTTTTGAAGGCGCACCCAGGCCTCTCAGCCTCACTGATAGGTAAACCTTGGCCTGGAGCGCAATTTCTATTTGTTTGTATTTCTATTATCTATTTGGGTTATTTTGAATTTTAAGAGCTGAAAAGGACACCAAAAATGCCTGTCGTGATTGAATAGTGTTCCCCCAAAAGATAGGTTCCACGTCCTGACCCCTGGAACCTATGAACGTGACCATATTTGGGGAAAGGGTCTCTGCAGATGTAATTAAGTTAAGGATCTCAAGATGATATCGTCCTGGAATAGGGTGGGCCCTACCTCGAATAAGTGCCCCTCTAAGAGACAGGAGAGGAGAAGACACACATATGGGGGGCAGCCAAGGCAGAGACTAGAGGGTTGGGACCACAGCCGAGGATTGCCAGCCGCTGGCAGAAGCTAGAGGAGGCAGGAAGGATCCTCCCTCAGTCCCCAGAGGAAGCCCAGCCCTGCCGACACCTTCACTTCGGACTTCTGGTCCCCAGAACTGTGCGAGAGTAAATTTCCATTGTGTTCAGCCCCCTAGTTTGTGGTATTTCGTTAGGACAGCCCCAGGAAACAAAACCACCCTCCATGGGAAAACTGGTGGGTGCGATCCCCACACTCCTCCTGTTCTTATCCCCTCTGCCGGCTCCGGCCTCAGGCGAGTATAGCCAGTGAGACTCAAGAAAAGCCCCGTGTTCCTCTAGGGAGCGTGTACGGTCCCCACACAATGGCCTGCTCTACACCAAGGCACTTTGATGGGTAGGACGGCGTGGAAAGCACCTTCAGGAAGAATGTCTCCAAGGGCCACATTGTGGCACCGACCATGGAAGATGGGCTGAGCCCGACCCATCTGTCCCCGAAGGTACAGTCTACATCTCTAGATATCCAAACTGCTTCCAGGGATCAGGACAAGGTGTAGATCACGCTGTGCTTTCTAGGATTATTTACTGGTCCATCGCTCGTGGTTCCCCCTTAAGGCACAGGCTTCCCCACACCTTCACTTGCAAGACAAAGACTCCTCTTCCTCCAGACCCTGCGTGGAGGATAGTATCTAAAAAGGGATCTGAGTATGAGTTAAACATGGTCATCCATGTCCAGCCCAGAGGCAAGCAAGGCCAGCAGCAGGGGCTAGGGTCGCCTGAAATGGAATCGTCACAGTAGACTGGAAACTCCTTTCAAGTTTATCTTCCATTTGAAGACCTCCGTCCCCTGCTCCACAGTGGAGCTACGGAGTGTATGCAAACTGGCTTCCCATGTACCACATAAGCTCACGGATGGGCTCTCTTGGTGGCACAGAGCTGTTACTCAGAGTCCTTCGGACGGCTGTGTGTTGGCCACAGGCTCTTCCACTCCCTACTGCCCTACAGTTGCCCAGTCATACATGTCACATGCCTGGCCCCATAAACATCTGGTTTGTGACTCTCGTGGACCATTTAGGGTGTGTTCTCTCTGGGTGTCTACCGGCTGTCCTATAATTTAGTTGTAACAGTTATTGCTTGAAGTCTGTAGACCACATACTCAGGCTTTGAAGCCTTGAAATGTTCTGACAGTTGGACACGGCCTGTGTTCTCTGTGATTTGGGCCCACTCTGGAGAGGGGCCTAACTAGAGAGCTCGGTGACATTCTCCTACCATCTTGGACAAATAGCCTTGTGGACATCCTAGTTCTTCCAAACTGTTGTGTCCAGAAGAAATCTGCCTGGTGTCCCTCAACATAAATCATCAAAGTCACTGATATCAGTCCCTTCCCAAGCTGTGTATCACCCTGAGGCCACATGACTGTCATGCCTGCGCCGGGGCCCACACTCAGCAGAGCCACCCCGGGATGGCAGGCGGGGAAAGGCTGGAAGGGTCAAATACATTCCCTAGAGGATCCGTGTTCATTTTTCCTTACAAAAGCTTCTGGGCAAAGCCCTGGCATGGTCTCACTTGCAGGGAAGGCCCAGGTCCACAGGGACACAGAAGCCAGGATGTGAGGGCCATGCTAGCCCCTGTCTTGCTGACCTCTGGAATCCCATGCTCCCCAAAGACTGCACTGCCCAGCCCTGCTTCTCTGTAGGAAGCTGACTTTCTGGAAGGTGTTGAATTCTCTTTCTTTAGGGGCTGTGCTTTCTTTGGACCCTGTGGATCCCTGCTCTGGGTTAAGATAATATTTTGAACAATGTGTGAAAACCATTTGGCTGACTGTGGTCCTCCAGAGCCACCACTGCCTTATGTCCAACTCTGCTGCTGGCAGAGCCCTTCGCCCCATCTCCAGGGATTCCGGGGTTTTGGACGCTGGTGTGGAGAAAATCTGGCCTTGGAAAATCAGACAGTGACCTCCCTGGGTGTTGGCAGATGTTTCCTGTGCTCAGTGACCTCATCAACTGCGAAGACAGATGTGTCTGTATGTCTCCCTATAAGAGGAGGCCAGCGCCCCCCATGGCCTTGGAGTCCCGAGGGTCACCATAGTCCTGGCCACCTCCAGCCGCCTTCCGTTGTGGGGGATGGAAAGGAAGTGGCACAGGCCGCCCTGCATGCCTGAGCTCCTGGGGCAACAAACCAGGCCAGCTCCAGCTGTGATCGGAATGAAGGACTTGAGTCCTAGGTTGGCAGGGGCCACTATGTGGATCCGGGATCCGGGTGAAGCCTGGAAGGCAGGAGGCTGGGGCCGGGCCCCTGAGCCCTGCCCTCCGTTACTGAAGCGCCACGTGACAGGACTGGAAAGTCACATTTCCAAATGACGAATCCTGCCTTCTCAGAATTCTCACCTGTCCCCCCGAAGCCGGCCTATCCAGCTGGGCCTACTACTTGGGTAAGGACACAGAGCTCTGAGAGAAAGTCCCTGTCATGGACTGAACTCTGTTCCACCCAAATTCATATGTTGGAAGTCCCGTCCCACAGTACCTCAGAATGTCACTGTATTTGGAGATAAGATCTTTAAAGAAGTAATTGAAATAAAATGAAGTAATGGGGGGGCCCTAATCCAGTATGGCCGGTATCCTTACAATAAAAAGAGATGAGGACGCAGACACACACACAGGGATGATCACGTGAGGCCACAGGAAAAAGATGCCCATCTACAAGACAAGGACAGAGGCCTCCGGAGAAACCAGCCCTTCCGACACCTTGATCTCAGATTCAAGCCTCCAGAAATGTGAGAAAACACATTTCTGTTGTTTAAGCCCCTCAGCCTGTGGTATTTTGTAATGGCGGCGTGAGCAGACCAATACAGTCCCCATAAGGATCTGAACAGCATGAGGTGGAAAGCATTGTCCAGAAATAAGAACTTAGGGCCCTTGGGTAGGGCTGGAAGGAGCTGGACACATCCTCTGGAGGAGAGCTGACAGCAGATGACACCATGTGAGGAGGGAAAACAGAACTGGAAAGAGTGGGGGGCTTGGCTTTCTCCGGCCTCCATGGGGCAGGAATTTGGATATGGACAACACTCCAACTGACCAACAGGGACCCTGGGCAGTGGGGGCAATAGGGCCCCTCAGAGAGAGGTGACCAATGCATGCAAGGACAAGATGACCACCTGGGCTGGGAGGTGAGGAGCATCTTGTGTAGGGAGGGCTGGATGGAGAACACCTTCATGAAGCCTGGAGACCAACGAGGGGAGGAGGCTGAGGAGACACAGACCTCTGGACCTTTGCTCTGATCGATGCCTCCTCACATCCCTGCCCTCACTGCGGAGGGCACCCAGCAACTTCCGACGGCCCCATCTCCCTCCTGACGCCTTTCTCTGGCAGGGCCCACTCTGACAGATGTGGGGGGGCAGGGGGTTAATAGTCCCCGAGAGCGGCCTTCAGCCGACCACTGGCAGGAGCAGGAATATAAATACCTCAGCTCACTCCCCTTGGCGCCATGACTGAGGCCCAGTCAGACAAGCCCCTCTTAAGGCTCCTTCCCCTCCATGCCTTACTTCTCTCTCCCCTAACCACGTTTCAGTCGCTGTCCAAATAAATTGCTGTACTTGAACTCTAGGCTCAGGGCCGGCTTCTGGAGTTGACCCCTCTGGCCCTAGTTGTATGCGTGGGGAGACTGGAGCCTCAGGTACCTCACAACACAGAGGTTTCAGAACTGCCCAAGCTCCACACAAGACCCGGCTTCCAAAGACCAGGCTCTGCATGTTGAATACGTCCCCTTTCTTCATCTGAGAGTTCCAGCTTTGGAGGGGAAAGTAATGGTTTTCCTGAGAGGGACATCCAAAGATGGTTCCAGTCCTGGAGCCAAGGTGTGAGCTCTGGAAGACTAATTCCCGCCCCTATTTGTGGGTAAGAGCCTCGGCTGTTTCTCGATGTCAATGCTCCTTTGGCTTATATCTGGAAAACTGGCAGAGGGGAGTCTGGGGCCAACGTGGGGCTCATGGCGGATCCCAAGGCCACGCTCCGTCTCCCCACAGCCTGCTGGGCCGTGCTCTCTGCCTCCAGTCCCTGTGGTGTTTCTCCACTGTAATGAAGGTCACCGCACAGTAGCAATCATTGCCAGTGTTGCTATATTTAATTTTCTTTGATTTACCAATTCTAGCCCATTTGGAGAAAATAAAAAACCACCACGCTCCCTCTGGTTTCTAAATGCTTCTGTCTTTTTCGTGTGTCTCCTGGAAGCCTGTGTATGTCTTCCCTTTCAGGGCTCCCTTGGATAATCGAGATGTCTAGAAATACCAAATCCCAAGTGAGGTACGGTGAATTTATCATGCAGATTGCAGAGGACCTCTCAAATGAAGTCCCTTCAGAAGCTGGCTGCGCTTGGGAAGATTGGGGCTCCTGATGGAGCAAAGACAGGCTCCACGTCTAAGAGCCATCTTGTGGTGGAAACCACTCAAAGCTTGAGAGCCAAACAGGCCTGGACTCTAGTCCTGTCTGACTCAGCTGCTGCCCTCCCACAGGCCTCCAGCCACGGGGCTCACCTGCTCATCTGGGAAATGGACACAAGGGCCGCCTGGCTCCCCTCACTGACGAGAGGCCAGAATGGATACATGAAAAGCTTCCAGTCTGTATGGTCACAAGAACCTCGCGCTGATCATCACTGTGGCCCTTATTACATTATTACGTTTCCAGATACAAATACAAATTGTATTTATTTCCCCTGTGGGGGGAAGTCCCTGCTCCCTGTGTCAGCCAGGCAGTGCAAGCAATAAGAAATGAGATTTAAAATGAAGACTTTTATTTCCGTAAGTTTTCATTCTCCGTGCTTAGCGGCCTCATGTCCTCCAGCGCAGCCCCACATTGAGGAGCAACTGTTCCTGCAGGTAATTCGGGGGATATCAGGGCTTGCTGGATATCAGGGCTCCTGACAAGCTCCTGCCTCCATGGAAGGGGGCTGGGGACCCGTGGGGCGGGGGCTTTCAGAGCGGCCACCTGCCTTCTCCACCGGCAGTGGTAGCGGCAGGGAACGTCCCTCCCGGGCCACCTCCCCCCCCCCCGGCGGTGCGGGGGTGTGGGCCCTCATGCCTGTCCTCCCTTCTAGATTGTTCTGTGGTGGTGACGCTGCTCCACACCCTCAAAGCAGATGCCTCTTCATCTCCCGACCGCTCTCGTGACTCCAGAGCACGCACTCTCCACTTACTCCCTGCCTGGCAAGTCTCCCCAAGAACTGATTCTGTAACTGACACTTCCTACCCTGTTTTCCAGCTCCCGTATGAGCGAGGCTGACCTACAGATCCCATCCAAACAGTGAGCAGTTGCTTCCTGACCAAGCTGCTTTCAAGAACGACAGGGATGTTTGTATCACGATTCGGTTACTCGAAACGCAAGAGATATAAAGGCTGCTCACAACTCTGAGTCTGGCGGTGCACAGCGACCTTTCCTCGCTGTTGTGAATCAAAAGCGAGCAGGAAGAAGCTGTCTGAGTCTGCCCAGCGACACCCTAGTAACTGCCATGGCCGCCGGGTCCCAGTCGACACTGACTGGGCAGGTAGACCGTGCGGCCAGAGTGAGCAGTCCTTGGACCTGCCATCCACCCTCAGCTCGACACCAGCCACTTGTCCTCTAATGTCTCTCGTCAACATGAAGCAAAGCAAGATGGGGGCCATGCTGTCTGGGCTGCAGTGCAAAAGATCTGGCCCCTCCCCCCATCTGCACCCCCTTAACAAGCACCCCCGAGCCGGCCATTGGCATGGAGGGCTGGGCTGTGAGAGGATGAGGTGTCCCACTCCATGCCAATTCTTTGCTGCCTCAAGTTGGATTCTAGAAGAAAAGTGTCACTTCTTTAAACATTTCGGTGACTCGAGCCCCAGCCCCACCCCATCCAGATGTTCACCCAACTGTCTGCATTGGCAAATCGAATCCTGAGTATTCACTCTTTCCATGCTGACTTCTCCCATCCTGGGAACCTGGGGTCTCCCCTGAGCTTGCCAGCGGGTGGTGGGCAGGGGTCAGAGGCCGGCTGCTGCCTGCTTCAGCTCCAGGCTCTGCTGGCCTCTCACCGTGTGACCCCAGGCAAGTGGCTTAACCTCTCTGAACCTCGGCTCCTCCTCAGTAGTCAAAGTGGGAGATGAACATGAGACGCTCCCTCACTGGGTTGGCCACATATTTAATCACTTAAATCAGTGCCCGACGGTAGTAAGGGCTCTGTACATGTTGGTTCTTTGCTGGTCGCCCTCACTTGCAACTGGTGTCCAGATGTCATAGAGAAACTGAGGTTCTAAATCCACTATCTCCAATCCAGCAGCTTCAGCACCATCCCACACCCGCCGGAGTGTCACCTGAAGGTGAGCTTGGACGTCTGAGAACTGACCAGTAGCTGTGCTTAACCAAGGGGTGGATGGAGTGTGCAGGGGGTTTAAAATTCATGCATGCACAACGGGCGACCATTGTACCAAACAAGGGCCGCCTTCCTGCTCCGTCCTGACCACCTCCTCCCTGGCTAGCCCCGGCCCACAGCCCGGCGTGGGTGAGCGGTACTCACGGAGGTGGTGTGCGTAGCGGAGGTGGAAGACGTCACAGCCGTGCACGTGATGGTAGAGGGTCTTCTCGATCAGGTCCTGTGGCTCATACCCGGTCAGCTCGGTCACCCTGGGGGTGGGGGGCGGACAGTGGCTCTGTGGGTTACCCTGCTCTGCAGATTGTCTTTCATTTAAACTAATATTGGTTTTGCCAACTAATCAAGTGCTAAAAGGCTCAGGGCGGGGGGTGATGTTGGTTTTGGAAACGGAGAATGATCTTTTTTACAAGAAGAGAGTCTTTGAACTCTAGCCCGGTAGCACTATGCATGAGCGGGAATGTTCTTCTGAAACTACCAGCTAGAAGAACATTGGGGATGGCTTAACGTGTTTTCCTTTTTCAGGGTGAAGCTTCTCTGGGGGCGCTTACCAGTGAACTCTGACGCTGATAGTGGGAGAAAGACCCACTCTCCAGGGGCTTTGGGGTGACGGTCCAATGGGAACCTTTGGTTTTTTTATTGTGGTAAAATATGCATAACAGAAACTTTGCCATTTTAGCCTTTTTAAGTGTACATTTAGTGGCCCTAACTACATCCACAACGTTGTGTGACCAGCACCCTTTCCATCTCCAGAACTCTCCATTGCTCCCCACCCACCCACCCAGGTAAGCTTCACTCTCCCTCCGTCTCTATGAATCTGTCTATTCCAGATAGCTCATAGGAGAGGGATGCCTGGGTGGCTCAGTCGGTGAAGCGTCTGCCTTTGGCTCGGGTCATGATCCCGGGGTCCTGGGATCGAGTCCCGCATTGGGCTCCCTGCTCAGTGGGGAGTCTTCTTCTCCCTCTCCCTCTGCCTGCCACTCCCCCTGCTGTGCTCTCTCTCTGACAAATAAATAAATTAATTTTAAAAAATAGATATTTCAGAGGAGTGAAATGATTTGGCACATGTCCTTTTGTGTCTGGCTTCTTTCACTTGGCATCATGTTTTCAAGGTTCACGCATGTTGTAGCATGCGATAGGATAGCGTTCGTTTTCATGGCTGGGTGATGTTCTGTTGGTGTAGATACCACGTTTGGTTTGTCCCTTCACCCGCTGACGGCCACCTGGGTGGTTTCCGCATCCCGGCTACTGTGTGTGTGAGCCTGGACGTCTCACACTGGACACGGTGGTCTCAGGATGCTCTGGTTGGGCGGTAGCATCTATAGACTAGCCGGAGACATGGACTCCTCCTATCAGTGGAGGATGGTCGCGCAGCCCCGGAAAATAGTAGAACAGCCCCCAAAAATATCGTGACTGCAAGGTAAACCTGCAGTCCACTGGCGAAAGGGCAGCCTGCTCCTGGGGTTTTCCTGCCATTACCACCTCTCTGTTCTCATCAAGCCCCAGGAATATGGATTTCCCATGTCAGCTCTTTGAAGAAAAGCAGCTCTCAAAGTCCAAAACTACATCATCACTGGTGTTCGGATCGCTCCGTCCGGAGGTGAAAATGGCAGGCGGCAACGGTGTTGTTTCCCAGGCCCTGGGCAACTGAGCTGGGAGCCGTGCCCTCAGAGGAGGTGGCCCAAACGTCTTGGTGACAGATATTCAAGAACAGATGAAAGAGGAGGACAAGAGGGATTCTAAGGGAAGGGAGGCAGTCCTGGGGGGCAGAGGTGGGGCCTGAGGACGGGCCGGGACAGGGGGTCCTGCTGGCATGTATCTGAAATGTTGGCTGGAAATGAAACAGGGAAACCTGACCTCATTCCGTAACCTGCTCCCCTTTCTGTTGAGTTCTGCGTGGGCTTTGGGTCGTAAATCTCCAGGAGCCTCATATTTCCCTGGAATCGGTCACTATTTGGTGTACACATTTCCATGGTGTTCCATCAGGGCGGGAAGGAGACGGGGCTGGAGGTAGGTGGGAAAGGGAACATGCCACAGCCTTTAGGGGCTCGGGCGACTTGTCTAAGGGCCACCTAGAACTTCAGGCCCCACTGGAGTCGAACTGTGTGGCAGGAAAACTGAGACCTGGCTTCCCCCCAAAAAGAAAACCCGGCATCTCTACTGTGTCAGGATGAAAGACGCTTCCCAGACCCTTTGGAAGTAAAGTTACAGAACAACGGCCCTGAACGTGTAAATGAATCAGCAACACATGTATTAAGTTTCTCATCAAAGTACACGCTGGTTTTAAAAATTAAAGGAAAAGAGAAGGGTCTGGCAGCACGCCCTCCTGGTTTTTTCCAAACCTCCAGTGTCTGAAGACCTGTCAGAGGGATTTGCCAAACCCCAAACATGGCTGGGTTCACCCATCCTTAGCAAAAGCACCAGCTACAGTTTCAAAGTGAAATACCACAAAACCCCTATGAACCAAATTTCAGGTTATGCTGAGTTCAGTTGTGTCTGGGATTACACTGGGTGGGGGGCCAAGTGGCCACCCCCCAGGTCCACCCCCCAGGCCCCTGTGACTCTAGGGCTGCTGGGCTTCAAGCCAACCCCACACTGTGGCTTCTGGGGTTTGGATGCCAGGAGCTGACATCTCCCACCCCGCAGGGCCATCCTGCTGACCTCTGAGTCCTGGGCCGGCCCCTCTGTCCCCCAGCCCAGAGGCCTATCGAAGACCGAGCTGCAACAGACCGGAGACCAGAGTGAGTGTGAAGAATTCTCCAGCTCATCACTGACCCTCTTAAGTATCTCCTAGATGACTGGAGTTCAGAAGCTTTGCTAGAAGCTTCCTGGTACTTAGCTGGGAGAACAGCAGTGGACTTCTGCAGAGACAGGGAGTCTTCTTCAAGATCACTGTCTTTCTTTCCTACTCACCTCAGGGGTCCAGCCCTCACCCTGATGTGGAGGGACGCTGGCATTCGAGAAAGTCCATGCCTGAGGCTCCCACCATGAGCTGGTCTCTCGGCTAACCTCCAGTACCCTCTTCTGCAAAGCCCTGCTTTTGTCCTTCGTGTTTCAAAGCTGTGTGCATCGAACGATCTGAGAAGACCTGAAATCTCTTCTTCCGGGGAGACCTCTCTCTTTCCTCTTCTAGAGAATTCACTGACCCCCAGAGGCTTTTCCTAGAACCCTCAAAGGAAAACTAGGAGACAGACATAACATGGGAGACCCTCCCAAGTGTGTGAAATAATGAACTTGGACAGCTGAAATTCCTTTCAGTTCACTTTTACAAGTGGCTCCTGAATCCAGAAAGAACCCCTTCCCACGGCCTGCTGTCACTTCCGCCACACCCCCAGGCAGCCCAGCCCCCCGGGGCCCCTCTCCGGGCAGGGGTCTGCCTTCGCTGCAGGAAAATAGCATTTGTCAGCGTCTGGCCGCCCAAAGGTGCCGGCCTCCTTCCCCCAAAGAGTTATATGTACTCTTTCTGGGAGCACAAAGCCAATCTGTCATGTCAACCTTTGTCATTTCTCTACCTGTGAACGGTTCTGAGGTCCTGACGTGTGCTAACAATGACCTAGGCTAATTCGTGTCTTCGCCTCCCGCCCCTAACCAGGTATGTGTGATTTTCTCCCATAACTGGTTAAAGTGACCAATTTTATGTCATGTATATTTTACCACAATAAAAAAGGTCGGGGGAAAAATCTATAAATCTTAGCAAAAAAAATATATATATATATTTATATTTACAGATGGATGTATCTATCTCCTTTCTCCCAGAAAGCTTAGCCACACACACCCAAAAGCAGAAGCGGGGTCTCTGAACATTTAGTCCTCCCTGTACAGCTGAGGACTCTAGGGGGCTACCCGGCAAAGTGACTCACCTTGCAGGCCCATCGGGCTTTTTACTTGTACAAATGCTTCCTGTCTATGATCAAGTTTCCCCTTCCTAATAGCCTGTGGGTAGCCGAGTGGGCAGGGCGGGGCTGACTTGTTTTACAGATGAGAACATGGAAGCCCCAAGAAGCCCCGCAGGCCTGAGGCCTCAAGGCCGGTGAAGCCTGCAGGCTGCCCTGGGGGTCGGCCCAGCCGGCTGCTGCAGCCGTTCCAGCACACCCCTCCCCGGTGCGGCGGGCTCTGGCAGGCCTGGCGAACAACACATCAGGGCTTCCACCTCGTTCACTCTCCCTTGTGTCTCTGAGACGAGATCCTCAGACTCAAGTAGGAGCCGAAAGGATAGTTGAGAGATGGTTCTGGGGCCACGGCATCTTCGCCCTCCCCGCCAGCCAGGGGGCGCCCTCCCAGCCCAGGCCCAGCCGGGGCACCCGCTGAGCTTGTGGCCACAGCCTTCCCCAGGGAAGGCCACCTGCCTGCTCGCAGCCTCAGCTCCCGCGGCTGCCACAGCCCGAACGGCCTCCCACCAGCCTGCGTGGGCAGCCACCCCACCTCCCAGTCCACACTCACAGTCTTTCTTTTTGATTTTAAGGTCCTACCTACTTGATGGAGATACAAGACAGAATCCCGACATCGTGGGCCCTCAAAAACGGCTAACTTGTGTCCACAACACATATTCCCAGTTCCCACTTCAGTGAAATGATGAAGGGGTAAGTAAATAATATAAAACAACCTGGAGAAGCTGGCTACCCCCTGAGTCCTAAGGCTGATAGCAATTCTTCCAGTTCATGACCTGGTTCCACTAAATCGCTTTCTAACTCACATTCTTGAGAGAGAGAGAGAGAGAGAGAGAGCATGCAAGCAGGGGGAGCAGCAGAGGGAGAGGGAGAAGCAGGCTCCCCGCTGAGCAGGGAGCACGAGGTGGGGCTCCATCCCAGGACCCTGGGACCATGACCTGAGCTGAATGGAAGGCAGACACTTAACCGACTGAGCCACCCAGGCGTCCCCCTAACTCGCATTCTTAGTATGACTTATTCCTCGTTACATTGTGGCTTCACAGTGTAGCTTTCGGGGCAGTTTCCACCGTCAGCATCTTCGGGAACTCTGCAGGAGCATCAGGTGCCAAACTCACCTGGAATCCAGGAAGATCAGCTTCAGGTCGAGGCTGGCCCTGAACATGAACATGTTACTATGCAGCTTGATCTCTGTGATGGCACTGGGCGGCAGCGACTGGCCCACGGCCACCAGCCCCACGATCTGGTAGCACGAGTCATACAGGGACATGTCCAGCATATACTGCCTGATCTTCAAGTAGCCGCTGCAGTGGATGACCTGGGAAAGCAGAGGGCAGGGTCAGCCGCCGGCAGCCCAGGAGGTCAGACCGGCGCCCACTCCTCCTGGCTCGGGGCCTGCCCGCCTTCTTGAGCATGCTGGACAATGCCCAGCCCAGCCTCTACTGAGCTGTCGGGCCAACATGCTTCTTTCTCAGGAAACAATATCATAATAAAATGTAAGGGTTGTCTTATCCAATTGACTCTGCTCAAGTAACTCCACAAGGTAAGACTCTAATACATAATGGATTTAATACATACTCTAATACTAATACTAATATTACTCTAGTACTCTAATACATAATCCATAATTAACTCATCACCAAGTCACTATGAAATCGCACAACAAAAGCACCAAGGGAAGCTAACTGTTGGTTCCATGATGCTCGCTTGGGTACCTGTTATGCTCATCGCCTCCCAATGGGACTGGATTTGACATCTGTTAACTTGACATTTATATCACTTGACAAGCTATACCATTCCAGTAAATTAAGAATTCTTTCAGTAGAATCAAGAGTCTTCCTTTTAATGTATTTTTATTTTGTTTTGTTTATTTATAACTCAAGAATTTATCCCCTTGTAATAAGCAATAAGCAGGAGTGGCTATATAGAAACCTGATTGTTATAGCCAAAAACCATGCAGGAGAGAACGTATAGTGTTCCAAATGTCAAACATGTCAAACGGAAACATTTATGCAATCTTCAGCCTCAATATTGGCAGGATTTATGTAAGTTAGAGTCAGTAAAATCTCGAAAGGATCCCAATCATCACGACAGCAGTGATGAACAGCTAAAATCTTAAAATCTCTTTTCAAAAACGTTCCTCCAGGACTCCTGAATTCATTCAATCTTTAGAGCTGCAATAAATCTTAAAATCCGCCCAGTCTATTATCCCATCTTACTGATGAGGAGACTGAGGACAAGGTAGGTGATCTGTATTGCTTAAGATTAGACAGTTAATAAGCGACAGAAATAACTCAAGACCCAAGTCTGTTGGGTACAGGACAGTGCTGGGAGTTCTCCACTCCTTCGAGTCTGAGTCAGCAAATAAGAAATGTATCCCCAAACTATAAAACAGAGTGAGGTAAAGTCAAAGGAAAGAGCTCAGTGTGGGGTTCAAAGGAGGGGGCTGAGGAAAGGCAGCCCCTGGGGTGGGGAGGAGGTAGGAAGGAGGCATTCCAGAAAGAGAGGACAAAGGCGGAAGAAACAGTAACTTCAGACTCCAGAGAGGACACAGAAGCTTGGAAGGGGTTGCTCAGCGCAGACTTCCCCCATCTTGCCCTTCCGTCTGGGAGTGGCTGATTCTGGTGCTGAGGCACCATGCCGCCTGTGGGCTCTGCGGGGGACCTACTCCTGGATTCCGGAGCTAGCCAGAGCAGGGGGCCAGGTCTGGCAGAGAAATGCAGCCGGGAGGAACTCTGCCCCTTAGCCTGAGGGCCTCCTGCTGGTCTTCTCCCTTCTCTGCTTGCGTCCCAGATGATCATAAAATGGGGCCAATAATACTCCCCTCAGAGGGCTGCCATGACTATTAATTAACTAGATGAGAGGCCGCTGCTGAAAGCCCGTGGCCCCTCAGAACGGGTTCCATCGTTAGTCAAGCACATCATAGTCATCATCCCTGGATTTGGCCGAACATTCGAGGGTAGGGGCACCGTTTCTGTGCTCTGAATACTCGCTGCCGACCCCGCGACAGGGATTCTCAGTAAGCTCGAGGGGCAGCTCCTTCAATGGCACCGACCTGAGCAAAGTGGAACCTACAGGAAAGGAAAATTCTACCCTGGGCCACGTTTATTCCTGGTCTCCTCTGACGACATCCAGCCCTCCTGGAATATCCTTGTAAGATGCCAGCTCTCATACCTGCTGCAGAAGCGGAGGCCAGCGGCCTCCCCGGAAAGTTCTGCCTTAGGCAGGGGGAAATGTCTGGGTCCCGGTGCTTGCTGTCTGCCGATGTTCACCAGTAGGAACAAAACAGAAAGCAGGGAAGACCCAGCGCCAACGCCTTCTTCCCCCACCCCCGACACGAGGATCCTCATACCTTGTATCCGCTGCATGTCAGGCCCGCGTTTCTTTTCGCCAAGACACACTTCATCCGCAGAAAGAATGACCTCTCTATCTCATACTCTGAAAGCAGGAGTGAGGTTAGATTGGCCAGCTGTCCCCCAACTGCTTCCCCCGATTTTTTCCCAACAACGTCAGTCAACCCTCAGGCCCAGACCAGGCAGCCAGAGACCCCATCCCAGAATGCCCAGCCCCTGCCCAGAGAGTTTCTGCCTGTGGCCGCGACCTGGGTGGGCTGGGGAGACTGGCCCCGTCCTGGCGTGGCTTCCACATGCTCCAGAGGCAGGCAGCCAGAAACGTGGCCGTAGCAAGAACTCAGGAGACACCAACGCGGGGCCAGGTGAGGACTCTAAGTGCAGTGGGCCCAGCCCCGCTCGACCGGCCCGTGGTCCCCTCCAGGCAGGCACAGAGAGGCCTGGCGCCAAAGGAATCGCCTTGGCCAGCCCTGGGGCGGATGCCTGAGTCGGCCAGGAGGGCCCAGAGGCATCTGACTTCTCTCAGGGTGGAGGATACTGAGTCAGGGCTCCCAAGCACAGCCCCCTCCGCAGCAGAGGGAGGCAGCCACGGGGCACCCATCCTGCCCGAGACTGCCATGGAATGGGGAAGAGAACCCAACAGACCCACTCGCTCGGCCAGATCGAAGCTTTTGCCCTCATCTAGAGCCCCGGTCCGACCACCCCTCCTTTCTCGACGGCTCTGACCCTCTCCATTCAGTCTTTCCCTGTCTGGCCTGAAGGCCTCACCCACCAATCTCGGACCTCACTATTGCAAATGCAAGCGAGTCCTCTAAGGACACACCCTATGCTTCCGTGAACAGATACCAGTTCTCTGGAATGATGTGTCCATGCCCCTGGGTGAGGGTGACGTCACTCCACTCCTAATGAACAGCTACTTGATGGCAGTTAATAAATTAATTTTTTTTTAAAGATTTTATTTATTTATTTGAGAGAGAGAGAATGAGAGAGAGCACATGAGAGGGGGGAGGGTCAGAGGGAGAAGCAGACTCCCCGCCGAGCAGGGAGCCCGATGCGGGACTCGATCCCGGGACTCCAGGATCATGACCTGAGCCGAAGGCAGTCGCCCAACCAACTGAGCCACCCAGGCGCCCAATAAATTAATTTTTAAAGAAAGGTTACCATTAGGAGTGGAGGCAATGCCCCCCGCCCCTCCCCAGGGGGAGCAAGGGAATCGCCCGCGAGGCTCCTCACTCCCCCACCACTGTTGGAGGGGCGGCCACGTTTACCCATAACTCCTCTGCAGCGGGCCGGGGTCTGCGAGGCATAAGGCTTCCCGGTGACACGCCTGCCTGTCTGCACCATTTGCAGCTACGCCCTGAGGTGTGCACGCTCAGCTCCAGACACCTTCACGTGGTAATGAACCAGCCAGTTCGGAGAGAGCCAACAGCGCAATAAGCATGAAGCAGCAGGGCAAGCTCAGCAGCAGAAAACCAGCTCCGTGGATGGGAAGCCGGGGAGCGGTGCCAGCCCCTGTGCACCTCACGCCTTGCACACTCAGGTGGCAACCCCACCTGTCCTGGAGCTCCAGGCTTCTCTGTGTGGCTGCTACACCTCAGACATGAACCCCGCGGCGACTGGGATTGGAAGGGTCTCTTGATATTCCCAAGACTCGTTTGCTGTCATTTGATAAACGCTTAACTGAGAGCTATGACATGGAAAGGTAACATGAAACCAGAGCTCGCGGCAGAAAGTCCATTCCTGTGTAACCAACACACTGTGCGGAACTTTCTAGAACAATAACAGCACAATGGTCTTAGGAGTTCTCTAAGCCTCCTGCAGCCTTTTCCAGCTTTAGACAACCCCGCAGTGAAAGAATGAGACTCAGGTGCACTCTTCTCCTCCCAGCTCTCATTTTGCTAGAGATTACTTCTTCCGAGCTTATGTGCGTGCACTGATGTGGCCAGACTGTTTGCAAGGACTTAAGAGTTACAGACCATAGCGGGGCGCCTGGGTGGCTCAAGTGGTTAAATGTCTGCCTTCAGCTCAGGTCATGATCCCAGGGTCCTGGGATCAAGCCCCATGTCGGGCTCCCTGCTCAGCGGGGCGTCTGCTTCTCTGTCATCCCTCTGCACCGCCCGCCCCCCCACCGGCTTGAGCTCGTGCGGTTTCTCTCTCTCAAATAAATAAATAAAATCTTAAAAAAAAAAAGAGTTACAGACCATAGCTACAGACCATAGCCATCTCATCACAGAAAGCACAGCAGTCTCTATCCCTGGTAAGGAAAAGTGAGACGCCCAGTGACTATGTCTGGGGCTAAGAACATGGGGGCCACAGGCTGTATCTGCAGGCGGTTTTAAAACAGAGTGGGCTCTTCTGCAGTCTCTTCTTCTAGCCTTAGAACGGCCCCTCCCGGGAGGAAGCAGTAAGACTGGAACTTGAGTTTTTCTCCAGCTGGTTACCCCATTCTACCATGCTTGATGTCTCTTCATTTGCATTCTGTTCTGTGGGGAATTTTGGCCAAGTTGGGATACCACAGTCCACAGCAGACAAGAGACCCACTGAGCAGCATGCTGGTTGGTCTCACTGGACTGTCAGAGAGAGGGTGTTACAAGGCCAGCGCCCCAGAATAAGTTCGTCATCCTAGCATGCGCTGCGATTGTAATTTAGGGAGTCATTTGCGTAATGATGTGCCCCACGTCGTCCCCCGAGCAATCACACCACATTATGTCCTTACACGTGCTTATGGTGGTAGGACCCCAATCCATACGTGTTCAGTAATGGGACCGTGGTGGAGGAGGTGGAGGATCGTGTCCCCACGTGGAGACAGGCCGGTGAGGTGGACCTGCCTCCATCTAGACCAGGGCTTCTTAACTGATTCCTGCCGTGGCACAAAACCCACAGATTCCTACCTGGAATAACGTTTTTAAGTGCAGAAGATAAAAATATAGGAGATCACAAACTGAACCAACTGTATTGAAAACAGTTACCAAAATATTTTTGCTCATATTTTTTGGTAATAAAACAAGTGGTAATTTGGTTATAAATGTGCTGCTTTATTCATGATTAAATAACAAGAGCCAGCAGCCGGCCTCGTAACTCCCTAAAATTTCAAAGTAGTGATGAGCGTGCGTGGTAAGTTTAAACACCTGCGAGAACTGTAAAGTGAAATGAAAATGTGTGTGACTCTTGTTGTTGGCGAAGCCACCAGTAAGAGGGGGAGTAAGATGGCGTACCCCCCATAATCTATAAGCCAAGGAACTGCTACATTCCAACCAGACAGAAGGAAGATGGAATTCTCCACGTGCAGTTTCACGGACCCCCTGAGTTCTGTCGGGGACCCTCTGGTTAAGAGGCCCAGGTCTAGGGGCGCCTGGGTGGCTCAGTCGTTAAGCGTCTGCCTTCGGCTCAGGTCATGATCCCAGGGTCCTGGGATCGAGCCCCACATCGGGCTCCCTGCTCGGCGGGAAGCCTGCTTCTCCCTCTCCCACTCCCCCTGCTTGTGTTCCCTCTCTCGCTGTCTCTCTCTGTCAAATAAATAAATAAAATCTTTAAAAAAAAAAAAAAAAAAGCCCGGGTCTAGACCTGTGTTCCTGGATTCTAAACCAAGAGCACACCTTGACCGCTTTCCTTTACCCCCTGCCAGCGCCCATCATGGTCTCTGGCATGAGAAACCAGCTGGGCCGCTCCAGTCCCGCACACTTCGCCTGGGCAGCATGGGAAGCAAAACCCTCGCGTCCCATCCAAGAGCTTCGTCTGGTTTTCACGCTGCTGTCTTCGTCTGGAGGAAATACCTTGGAGCAGGTGATGGTGAAGGGGCTGGTGGGCCGCAAGCACTGTTGTCATCTCGTCGTGGTCGGAAGGGTGGATGTACTCATAAATACTGTTGCCCGTGAGCTCCACCTGCCGCAGAGGGAAGGGAAGGGTCAGAAATCCTCTAGGGGGCTGCGCGGGTCGGGGAGGGGAAGGTGGACAATGGCTACGGACCGCGAGGGACAGAGCTTTGACCTCTGCTCACAGCGCACACCCTCTCCACACGCAGAAACACGCGTCTTTGATCAAGCAGCGCGCTGAACCGTCTCCCACGTGGGGACGCGAGCTGAAAGCCACGACAGTCCCGAGCAGGAGGAGCTGGGACAGGAAGGATGAAAAGGTGAGCCGTGGAGGTGGGTGCCCCCCCATGGGCCCGGGCGGTGTCCTTTACACAGGAGGCCGCTTACAGCAGACTGGAGCCGGGGCCTGGCCCTCCACCCACACGCCGTGCTGCCTGAGGGGCCTGGCCAGCCGGGACACCAGCTGCCAAGTCCAGACGATGGTCCCTGCGAGAGTCACGTCCTCTCCGAGGCTGAGCAGGTGGGAGCCATGGGGGCTCCCCTGCACGTGAGGAGGGCTCGCACCCCGACAAAGGCCCTTCCTCGGGCACCGCCAAGCCTCCTTCCCGTTGCCAGAAAGGTGTCCCTGGCCTTCTGACTCTGGGATGACCCGTTACCCAATGGCTCCCGCCCACGGGTGCGGCGGGGCGGCTGCGTGAACTGCGGGGACGTTTGGGCCCACTCCAGACGGCCATGTGACACGGTGGTTATTTCCGGGGGTCGCGACCCCAGCACTTGCATGCCACCTGCTTCCTGGCACACCCTGCAGAGGACACGATGGCAGGCCTAGAGCCTATGTGCGTGTTGGACAGGACCCTTGCAGGGACGGGGGTCTCTAGGAAAACACTAGCATTAGGACCTTTCCGCAGAGATTCCTGGTGACTCGACACCGAACCTTGAGAACTTTCCTATTGTTCTCCCAAAAGTAAGTGCCATGATAGGGGATGTTAGAGAGTCTCAAGACCTGGACCCCCTGACCCGTCATCCCAAGTTGGGCAGTGCCGTAGAATGTTCCGGAGACTATGACCATCAGAAGGGCCTTCTGAGCAGTGGTGGGTGGACCCTGTTTTAGAGATGCAATGGTGCAGACGAGAGCACCCAGTATTGATCAGGAGCCCAGGCCAGTGATGGCTCTTCCATCACAGCCCGCAGGAGCCCCAAAGCCCGGGGGTGGGGGGGAAGCCGAGAGTGTGTGAGAAACTGCCCTCGGGTGGCAGGGAACCGGGGCAGGTCTGACTCAGTCTTTCTCAGCTCTGCCCCACGGGGAGAGGGCAGGCTAAAAGAGCAAAGGCAGGCTTGCGAGGGCCTTGTCCCCAACCACCCCCTTGTTATTTTTAAGTGTGTCGTGCCTCGTGTTTTGTTGGGAGGCTCACTGCTCTCCCTCAGAGCGGAGCCAACACGATCTCCTGTCAAGGGGCCGCTCTGACCGGGCCACCTCACGCAGCGGGACAACCACAGGCAATTTCATGGACAAGTTCTGCTGGGAGCCACTGTTCCAAATTAGCATCAAGGCCATCAGCTCCTTCCTTGCGACTGAGCGGCCACGGAGGGGTGAAGGAATTTACCCCCCTCCTCTGAGCCAGGTCTTCCAATTTGTTAAGACGTAGGAGTTGCCATTTTATTCAGAACAAATTCTGTTTCTGGCCTGCTAAGTAATCTTGTCCCTAAACCGGCTTTCGCAGTTTTGTTTTCTGCATTATTCATGGAATGTTTCTTGCCAATATTATGCCTACAGAGGAACGGAGAGAATCCTGTTACAGAAAGCCTCCCTCCCTCCCCACTTGACCCAAAAGGGGATTTGCCTATGACCAAAGTTATTACGTGAGTTCATTAAAAACAATAAGGATTAAGAACTAAATAGTCTTCTTTCAAATCATTTCTGTTCATCCTTAAAAAATTTCGATAAACCAGCAAGTGTTAAGTCAGCCATTTGGAACAGGACCATCTCCTCTTCCCTGAAGTCAGTGATGGAGATTCCTGGTAAGCTCTGTCAGGTGGAGAGGGACAGAGGCAAATCAATAAGGGAGCTGGGCTTTTTTTTTTTTTTAATCGAGTCACATTTTAACAGCTTATTTTTAAAATGAAAACATAACGAGATAGATTTTGTGTGTGTGTGGGTCTATCATTTCTCCCTTACTCATGTTCTTAGGGGAAAAAATGAGCATTCTGGTTTGCACCAAGTTCTTAATCAGAAAAAAGTACCCCATGTCTTTTTAGAGAAAGTATATTTATATACTTGCATCTGTCCTTACAGGGATTTGATTTGCGTTTTAATCCCAAAGCAGCTTCATCTGTCTTCAAAGACCCATTCTCACCACATGCATTTGGAGAATAAGAGAGAAGGTCCATGAATTAAGAGGCTTGATTTTCTGAATCCTTGGTTCAATTATAAACTCCAAGGCTGTCCAGGAAGTAAAATGGTCTTCAAATAACGGAAATGTTTTTAAAGAACAAATTTTGGAATGATAAAACAGTGCTGACCTTGACTCAAAATTATGGTTGACATGGTGTTTCCTGTATTTACATATCTATTCGTGCTTTTGAATGGTTGAAAGAAATGTGACTACCTCACAAAAAAAAAAAAAAAATTATGGTTGTCGCTATAAAACTCTCCAGGTCTCATACATCAATCGTATTAAAACAGACCCTCAATGTGATATTTTAGTATTTGTAAAACCCTGCTAACTACAAAATGAATTGCTTTCCTACTAAGAGCGTTTTTATGTTTTGCTGAATAGCTTTCCTTCCTGCCAAGAAAACTACATCTGATAAATACAGCACTAAATGGATATATTCTGGGTCAGAAGGGGAAAGTCACCCAGTACTCTGGAAATACACATTACTCTGCTTTGGGTGTTTTGCTGACTATGGTAAATTAAGCATTAAAAAAAAAAAAGATGGTTTGGATTTCAGAGTTCGAGTTATGTCAACAAACATAAAACGCTGTCCTTTCTCTTTATTTCAAAAGTGCAAGGATTAGGTCTTATGGCCCCAAACAATGCCATGGCTATTTTTACGGCTGTGGTTCCGGCCACAATCTCAAATATTACATTTTCCTTTATATGTCTCATAAAAGGCTATTTCACACATATCTATAGTTATTTGAAAACTTATATTAGTTACCTAGATGCTATATAACGTATGCGGCTTTGGTGAAGAAATTTAAACCACGGGGATGCTTGAAAGATTCTGCGGAAATACAGAGCAGGTATACAGGGCTTTTTTTTCCTTCTTCCAATATAAGTACGTTAATCACATTAACCAAAGAACCGTGGAACTAACCACCTAATAAACCTGCGTGGAAAAAGAGTGCTTCCCCAGCTCTACCTTTTGACCACATGAATCATTACCTATTATTTGTGTGTGCACACACCAAGTAGGATTTTCAAGCCTGTAGCCTGACTCTGTTTCCCCACACTGGGACCGTGAGCTGAGGAGACAACTTGCAATTCGTGGTCATCTCTGTCACTCTTTGGTCCGAAAGTCTGACAGAGGGGATCACCCTGTTTACTAATTCAAAAGCAAAAGTAATAAACTCTACCAGATTTCTTACTCCCACACTTGTTTTTAAAAAGTTCAATGAAAGAGTTTGGATTAGGACAGGCTTATAACACATAAAGAATGATTTTTATACTCGCAAATACATCACTCAGATAGTTATTTGGATAGTGTAGATTTAAAAAAAAAAACACCACCACCACTTTGCTGTGAATTATCAAACAATTATGACAAACCTAGGAGCTTAGGTTCCCCAGGAGCTGCTAACATAGAGTTTAACCCTGAATTAATGTGAAAGATGTTACTTAATGAGATAACGTCACTGAGAATAATTGAAAGTTCTTGGACCACAGAAGGATAATATGTAAATAAAAGCTATCAGTACTATCGTTATTCATCAGAAAATCTGTTTAAAGGGCTACTCGGCCTACTGGATAGAATTTTCTTAACACTTTCATCTCTGAGGATTTAAAAAAAATCCTTAAGCCTATTTTAATAAAATTTTCATGTTTGACATATTTGCCTGACTTCTTACTACTAATAAAAATAATCTAAAAGGTACAAAAAAAATTTTTTAAAGGAGAAGCTGGGTATTTGACATCCTTTTCAATACTTCATTTTACTATTTAAGTAAAGAAGACAGAAAAAAATACACATTGTGATTCTGCCTAGATTTCCTTCTGCAGAGTTAATCGTGAGCAGGAGACAGATCGGAGGGAAAGGTTTGTTGTTGCTTATTTAAACAGTTCAGCGTGGAACACTCCCCAGACCCTAGCCAGGGCTCACGTCTGCATTAAAGTGTTTTCATAGCTGGAGACTGATGCTGAGACAGTCCCGCCAAGCGATCAGGGGGAAAAAAACATCAGTCGCTCTACAGTCAGTTTGATTTATCTTTTTTTAAACTGACACTTCTCCCAGCCAGCAACATACAGACAAAAGGCATCTCTACAACATTCTTGAAAAATGATGGTGTGTAGAACTCCCTCCCTTTTCAAAATTATGACTCCAAGTTTTATTTCTGCGTTATGACCAAAAGGAAATATAGTTTTAATTGGGATTCATCATGAACAGGAGTTCATCATGAATAGGAGGCAGATTTGTCAGCTATCCAATATTTTGTTCATTCTTAATTATTGTGCTCATAAACGGTCAATTTCATTTCCCACATAAAAAGAGAAAAATGACAGAGAGAGAGTTGTAGGATGCTAGACTGAGCAGCCTGCCTGAGTCAACTGGAGTCCTGGGATGTGCACAGGGCCTTATGATGTGCCAGAACATTCCACAGGACTACGCAGCCCCAACATGTGCCCAGCAACGGACACTATTTGAACAACTTTTGTGCTACTTGAAGTATAGTTCTAATGAAACTGTGGGGATACCTGGATTCTGTGCAGCTCCCTATTATTTATAAATGACATAAAATGGGCACTTTGATATAGTTCTTACCACAATCCTGAAAGAGAGGTAGAGCGGGCAGGATTTTCTTATTTAAGTGATGGTTCAGGGAGGCTAAGTACCTGACCTATCGGACAATGAAAACCATCTAACTGGGCATTTCCCTTTTTGCTTTGACTGCTAGGGAGCTCAGATCTAAATTTAATATCTGAAAATAGTGACTGTACCTGTTTTATCTTTACCAGTCCTTTTTAAAGGAGGTGAAATGTTTTATCTTGTTTGTGACATTATTCTAAGACTAACCAAAGATTCAATAAATTACAATTGAAAAATCAAGTAATCTGCTCAAAATCATTCAGCCACAGACAGAACAACGGCTAGACACCAGACTGGTTACAACTAAAGGACCTTAAATAATTCTAAATAGGGCAAGGTGGAAATTCAGAGCATAACAACCTTGGAAAATATATAAATAGTACATTTCATGTTCCCAACAGTATTTCCCGTTCTACGAGTATACTAATGCCATTAGTCATGGAAGTATAAGAGCCAAACCTTAGCAAATCTTAGCTGGGAGACCTGGTTTCGGAAAGGAAGAGAAGAGGAAGAGAAAAGGAAACACTAAATAATTTTAATATGAGATTCTCTTTAAAGGACTTTACATAAGAAACAGAGGCACAGAAACCCCCTTGGGCATGGATAAGGATATACACACATTGGAAGAGAAGGTTGTAAATAAATGGCAAGTTTAAAAAAAAATGCAATGGTAGAAAAAGAAAAGGAATACACCAGATGCAGATTTCCAAATTGGTAATTTTGTTTTTCCATGAAAAAAACCCCAGCGCCATTAATTGGCAGGTTTTATTTTGGCTTAACTACAGAGGGGGCTGGTGCAATACAGATTATTCATCTGCCTCCTGGGAGCCCATTTCCTGTCTCTAATTAATTCTAGTATGTCTTCAATCGTGATGAAAAAAAGCACTCTGATAAGTCACAATATAAAGAAACATTTAATCCCTAGATATATAAAAAAATGTGACTTTTAGAACCTCCATCCAGGCTTGTTAAATCAGAAATGTGAAGGGCCACAATCAGACTCCTCCCCTCCCCACATTCCGAGGAGCCCAGACAGCATTCCGCGCACCCCCCTACCCCGCCCCGCCAAACCCTTGGCTTGACCGGAATAGATAAAGCTGAGTGCACCTCTTTGCTTGACGGGATGAACCCCTTTTTAAAAGACAGTTCCAGAAAAATCGGTAATATTTAAATGTTCTAGAGAAAACAGGACCTTGCTGTGCAAAACAGTAGTAAACTGAGTTTTATGAGTTTCTATCACAAGCATATAAAATGCTTTACTGAAGCGACCACTGAACTGGAAAAACTCAGGAAAAATTACCCTGAATTCCATGTGAACACTCATAAATCTACCCCCCCTTCTCTCTCCCCAAAGCACAGTCTGCATAAAATCCATGTTCAACATCGGTTTTCCTCTTGCTTTCATGGCAACTCACAATACCACGTGCAGCCCAGCAAGCATGGACAGAAAAATCTCCCTTTGTGAAGCTCTTGTTAGTGGCAGAGTGTTACTGTAGAAGCAGAATCCAGGCTATCAGACAGAATCTCAGAACAAAGCTGACTGTTGCAAAGATATACTGGTCATTAATCCCAAAGGAAAAAGAAAGTAAAACCGGGAAATGCAACATGAAGAAAAGCTCAGCGGGATGGCCTAAGAAGATGATTTTGCAGTTTTGGATTATTTCATACACAAAAGCAGACGCTTGAACAGAATCATTTACAAGTTGGGTAAGACGGTCAAGATCCGCCAACGCTTACTTTTATATTTTGGTTGTATATAAAATTAGGTAATACCTACCTGAGACAAGCCCAAATGCACAGAAGCTGTTTCCGATATATACATGATTTTGCCATCAGATGCTACCACGAAAACAAATCCATCCAAAGTCTGTAAAAGAGAGTGCCAGGGGAAGAGGTGGTAGTTAATACAGTAGACTGAAATCTCATAATTGTACTGTCACTGAGGTGGAGGAATGTATAAAATATTATCATCCATACATAGTTGTTAAATGCAAAACGAGCCCAGGGCCATAAGAAGGATTCCAGGTTATAACACTGAAGGTTTAATTCCCGGGCCCAGGCTCTCAAATGCTTTTAAAGCATTTTAAAAACAATCTTATATCCACATCACAAAAATCATGCAAAACACTTGAGAACTCCTAACATGCTCAGTTTAAATGCAGTAGTTTTATTGTTTAGGGTTATTTTAGCACTTAGCACAAATCCGGAGTTCTATGGTACTTAGGGGGAAACCTACCACTATATAGACCATTTTATGTCATAATTGGCAGTCCTTTATACCACTAGGACATATGCTTTATTTGCCACAATTTTCTAGTTACCCCTAAGTACTATTTGAATAATAAATTCCGAACACTACCACTCCCCTGAAAATACCCGGTTATTTTAACAGACTATGTCTACAGAATTAACTACTTAGAATTTGCAAGAGATCAAGTAACCTTTGCAAAATTCAAGGAGAAAAAGTATCAATTTCTGAAAAATTAAAACTACCTAAATGATACTGCCTAAGTTGGCTAGCCCTCAAAAAAATAAAGTAAAATTTTAGGAGCTAATTAAGACAAATAAAAAGGTAATGATTATATTTATATGTGGCAAGGATAAAAAGACTAAATTATTTTTGAAAAAGGAAACTGCATTTTTATTTACCCATTCATATTTTAGATCCAGAACCAAAGAAAAGCAATAAAGTTGGTGAAAGATCCATACAACCCACAATGCTGCCCCCATAAAAAATATTCCAAATTAATTTCTGGCCACAAATTCTATTTTTACAGCATGTAATTGAAACCAGATTACCTTCGGTTTTTCTAAATCTGCCCCCTTTTTGGAGTAGAAGTGAAACTTGAAAGATACATTCTGCCGTCTCAAATACAGTTTTACTGTAAAAATCCTTTGCCAACTAAACTATCACCACCCTAACCTACACTGAGGTTGAAATCAACATCTTGATTATAAGCCTTACTTTCTCGTTTCTAACTCAGCTACAAAATATTTTCCCAACTAAATTCCGTTTCAGAAATATAAACTATACAGCAATTTCTAAAGTTATAAGCGTTCTGGCACATTTTAAACTTTTGCTTAACTCCAAAATCATTAAAGAGATACATTTATTGAAACAGTATTTGACAGCCATATGAGAAAAAAAGAAAAAAATTATCATAATTAAATTCTGAAAGTTGCCAGCAGTAGCTAAAAAAATAATATCGTTAATGGAAAATGTTGGGTATGTCTTCATAGCTTCCAATGACCTAATTCGCTTGAATGTATATTAATGGTAAACAAGCCCGTCGGCACAGCAGTCCGGAATTAAAGAAATGCACAGTGGAGGAACCTGTGCCCGCCAGGTTTTCACTGAGTTGTCCCTGATGTTAGTGTCACTTATAATATGTAGGAGTATCAAACAAGCAAACCACCACGCATGGAGCTGGAAGGAGCGAGTGGGTGAGCGCAGGGCGCGGGAAGGACTCCAAGAGCGCCATTTCCCCGCCTGGCTTCCACATCGTTCGCTTTCTGCTGTAAAAGCTTCAGGTATCAAATGTTCCCCGGGATCTTCTCTTCCCCGGAGCATGCATTAAAAAAAAAAAGGGGGGGGGGAATCGTACTAGGACATTTGGGGAAAGGGATTTTGAAAAGATCCGCTTTTTTCAAAATGCGGTGTTCTTGGCTGACTTGCTGACCCAAGTCATTGCGTACTGCTGCCAACCTATTTTTTTTCTTGTAAAGAAAACACAAAATAGAAGGAAGAAATGCAAAACAGCTCTTGGTCAGCATTTTTTGATGGCAGAGACAAATGACAGGTGGGGGGTATGAATCGGGTCGTTGATGAGGCTCTGTAAAGGGCATTTGAAAGATTCGGAGACAAGAGGCATTGCTGTCCCCACCTAGCGCCAGCCGCTGACTTGGAAATGGCCGGTTGTGCGCACGCTTAGCCAGCCAGAGCCGCAGACACTGCGGGCCAAAGCCCAGGCCAGGAGCGGTTTACCAACCCTGGACTAAATGACTCCGAGCTGAGGGCTATAAGCGGCTGACCACAAACCAAGCAAGGGCTCCCTCCGTGAGCCAGGTGATCCCAGAGGCCACACCAGGTCCCGACCTGGAGCACTCAAGAACTGGAGGACTTGGGTTGAACCAGGCTCCAGCACTTGCTGTGTGACCTCAGGCATATTGCTTAACCTCTCTGTGCCTCAATTTCCTCCTTTGAAAAAAATGGAGTTCAAAATAGAACCTACTCTAGGTGGGTGGTGATGCACCCTGATACAATAAGATTTAAAACAGAATCTGGTCGTAGTAAACTCTCAATAAATGCTAACTGTTAATATTCTATTATAGATGCTGTCTTTTCTTGCACCCCCTCCAAACATACACGATTGTCAAAGGCTTTAGGACTGCCACACTCTGGCTCAGAGCCTCCGCTGGATCATTCCTTCTTTGGCTCAAGCGCCTGGCACAGCGTCTGTAACAGAGCAAGCGCTCCACAGAAGTTCGCTAAGGGAAGTGAGGTTGGAAAGAACCGCGTGCCCACTGGCGTCCTTAGGCCTAGGTCTGGTGAGCTGGTGAGTACTGGGGCTGGGACACGGTGACATGCCCGATGGGGGTGGGGCTGGCCAGAGGTTACTCTGAGCTGAGTCCACCCCCGGTCCCGGCCTCCAAAGAGGATGCACGGTCAGAGGGTGGGGAGGTAAACAACTGCCTCGAGGTCCAGCAGCTGCCTCTGGCCTCGGCGACTTCTGCAGCCTGATGGTGGCCTATGGATCCACCCTGGGCTCCTTGGGGAGGGACATCTCGAGACTGGAGTGGCGGGGTCAGAAGGGAGCCCCCACCCGGGCGCGGGTCATCGCCTTAGGCAGTGGCTGCGCTCCTCCCCCGCTCAAAGGAGCCTTACCTGAAGCAAGTGCGATCCCAGCTCCTTGGCGACGCTGTCCAGGGGCCCCGCGCGGCTTGGCTGTCCCCACGCGTCTCCTAAACCTGGACCGGGGAATAAAGCAAATCAGTAAAGGGCAGCGCCAATCGAGAGGCCCCACGCCCCGCAGAGCGCGCGGAACCTCCGCAGAGCGCGCGGAACCTCCGCACCGCGCGCCCTGGTCGGCCGGAATCCCGAGCGTCCCGCCTGCCGCCTCCTGGGCCCCTCAGGCCGCCGTCTGTGTTCTTGCCATCGCCCCTTTGCCCTGGATTAAAGAGAAAAAAAGGCCAGAGGAGATATTCCGGCCGAGGCCTCGGGTCCAAGCGCCCCCAGTGCGCGCTGAGCTCGCCAGGCCCATAGCTCCCGTGGGTCGCCCACGTACTCACGGCTCCGAAATTGCCGTTTTATTTGAAATGCCATAAAGTAATCTAATCTGCTTTGAAACCTGCCATCCTCGAAGCCAAACGGGGATATCGATTTGACCTGTAAATAGTCCCCCAAGGACCCTCCCTCACTCCCTCCCTTCACTGTGTCGCCGGCAACTATGCATTTTCCTAAAGACAAGCCCAGACGAAATGTCCTAGCCGTCCAGGAGGCAGCTTTTTCTGCAAAAAAAAAGTTTTTTGTTTTTTGTTTTTTTTAAACCTCACGTAATCCCTCGGACTCCCCAGCCCTAAGAGGCGCCTCGGGAGCGCGGTCCCTCTTCCGATCCTAGCGCTCCAGCTTGGGAAGGGTTTACCTGGGGCCTTCCCCAGAACAAGCTCCTAACGCACCCAAAGCGGGGTGGGGGAGGGGCCGAAGGCGGTGGGAGTCTTGTAGGTACTGACAATAACTGGAAGGTATCTGTTGCCACATAATTAGGGTTCCCCAGTTCTTAACTGCCCCCCCCCAAAGACATCCTGCTTCTCCCCCCACCACCTCCCTGAAGCTCGCAAGTGTTTCAGAAAGCGCACCAGGGGAAAGGTGGCCCGGCTCAGCGAAGCCTCCTCTCCTGTGTCCCCGGCTCTGCTGCGTGACCCCAGAAATCCCAGGCTTTCTTCTGCGTATTCCGGAGAAAGCAGAAAAGCCGGGTGAGGTTTCATCGCTAAGTGCCGGGTGGGAGAACCCTCAGGGGCTACTTGGAGTCCTTCTGCTTCGGGCCGGGCCAGCAACTGTCCAGTTAGCGCCACCGCCCAGGCGCGACGTGGAGAAGCCGGCGACTGCTGTCCTCAGCCTGCGCCCCATTGCCTCCAGCGGAGAAGGCGGCCCCAGGCTCCAGGCCCACTCGTGCACCGGCTGCCACCCCTGCGGGGTGAGCTGTGGGTCCCGCTGCCCGCACATCGGTTATCCTCCCTTCCTGCAGGCCAGACCGGCCCCTACCCGCTGCGTGCGGGGAGTGCGGGACACGAAGCCAGAGCGGGATGCGCGGGATGGGGAACCTCGCCTAGTCTCAGCGAATTTGGGGACCATTCCCCGGGACCACAAAACTCCTCCAAGCGGACTGCGGCGAGTGGGTGGCCTGGAAAGTCCCCGCTTAGGCACTCTGGGTCTCCCTGCGCTGTCCCCGCAGGTGTTAGGAAGCACAGCTTCTGGAGGCCTCTGCCCCAAGCACGAGGGAAGCGCCGGGCCCCAGAGCCCCTCAGGGCCCAGGCCCCCCAAGAGGCTTTGGAGACCCTTCCCTGCAAACTCTGTTCGGCAAAAAAGGGATGACCTTTAATTTCTCCTCCTCAGCTGTAGGAATTAGGGGCTTATCCTGGTCTCCCCATAAGGAAGTGACTAAATTCCACATATCCTGATCCCCCAAACAGGATCACAGCCCCTCAGCCTCCACAGAGGTGTCTTCTTAACCCCAGGAAATTACTGTCTGCCCAATTTCACTTCCAAGGATGACCACAGTGACCATAATAGGGCACCACTGGCTCTCACCAGCAGGTCCTCCCCCAGCCCCCATCTGTGCAGGATGGCTTGGTGGGGTCAACGTTTACTCCGTTATTAAAAACCCTGGGACTTGAATGAAAAAATAATTTAATAAAGACCCAGGAATCCTGATTTCTGAAAATGGACAACCGTGCCCTGGTAACTGTCCTTTACCCAACTCCTGGGTCCTTTCCCTAGTTTGCACCACACTAGCCTTGCCTGGCTCAGCAGGAAAAGTGAACTTGGCCTTCCAGATTAGGCTTCTTGCAGTGTCCACAGCCAGGTGACCTGGGGAAATCTGTACCTCCGGGAAAGGGGCAGACCCAAACCAGACTTCCCTGCCCAGCTCTCCCAAAAGCCTTGTGGAAGGCTCTGGCCTTTCCAAAAGTGCACTGGGTACACAGAACAATTTTTCATATAATTCAAATACCCGGATACTTCAAAAGAGCCTGTTCTCTTATATCATAATTTTCCCCATAATTTCCTGACACCTCTGCTTTGCTGGCAGATCTTCGAGCCCCGCATCAGGGCTCCCTGCTCCGCAGGGGCCCTGCTTCTCCCTCTCCCACTCCCCCTGCTTGTGTTCCCTCTCTTGCTGTGTCTCTCTCTGTCAAATAAATAAATAAAATCTTAAAAAAAAAAGAAAAAGAAAAAGAAAAAGAAACCTCTGTGGGTGAGACCTTTTCACTCCACCCATAAAAATCTACTTTGGGGGGCGCCTGAGTGGCTCAGTCGTTAAGCGTCTGCCTTCGGCTCAGGTCATGATCCTAGGGTCCTGGGATCGAGCCCCGCATTGGGCTCCCTGCTCAGCGGGAAGCCTGCTTCTCCCTCTCCCACTCCCCCTGCTTGTGTTCCCTCTCTCGCTGTGCCTCTCTCTGTCAAATAAATAAATAAAATCTTAAAAAAAAAATCTACTTTGGGCTAAACGCAGAGACTAAATAGGTAAGGTTTGTAACAAGAACCAAAAAATGGTCTTGGTACTTGTAAAGCCACATATATCCCCCCAAAAGTGAGGCGCCGGGCACGTGGCCCTTATCTGGACCTAACAAAGGGCTTTATTTGTTTGAGAAATGAGGGGAGACAGGTAAGACTGAGCTAAGCCCCTCCAAGGTTATCAGTGACCTCATCTGGTCCTGGGAGCACCCACCTTCCACTGACTGTGGGGGGAGCAGCCGGATGGCGGGGAGCACCCCAAGCCTGGCCTGTGGTTCCCCTGCCAAGGTTTGCTATCCTAATTGCCCTACATGTGTCAGCAGGGAAATCCACTGGGAACTCCCTCCTACTGGGAATCCAGATGGCCAGGTTATGTGGGGAGGAGGCCAGCCACTGGGTCAGAAGAGAAAGGGAGCCAGGAATCCCCTTTCCCCCTCTGCCTCTGAGGGTTTGTGAGTACCTGCACCTTAGTATCCACACTTGGCTACTTGGCTGACCGGCTGTTTGGCTTAAACCTTACCAGGCTCTCCTGCCACTGAAGCTATCTAAATATGGTCCCGCCTCTCTGGGTGCTCAGTTAGTCAGTCAACAAACAGCTGTTGAGCACCTGCTGTGCAACCCCAGAGAAAGGGTCTGGAGTTTGATAAGAACTCCTGGGATGGACAGCGGTTTCTGGAAGGCAGCCTTGGGTATCTGACGTGGTGACAAGAACACTCCTCGCAGGGATCTTGTGAAAACTAAACGGGGTTAATAGGGGACCATCTGACCCTGCCACCACCCGTCCATGGAGAATTGGATCTGCGATTGAGAAAAATCCAGGACAGACCTTTCTGGAGCTCCCAGGGGACACAAGGGGGATCTCACCTCCTTCTGCCCCCACTCCCCAGCTGGGCCAGTCTGGATGGTCTGATCTCCAGCAAGTGCCCTGACCTCTAACCTTTATTTCTCAACTCTAAAGTGGGGGGTTTTGTAGGATTAAATGAACTAAACCAGAGGGTGCTGAGCAAAGCGCTGGGTCCCCTGGAACGCGGTGGTGCCTCAACGGCCTTGGTCCAGCCTTCTCTTGCCTTCCCACTCCTTCCATGCCTACTAGCCCCTTGCCGGGGGAGGAATCGTGTCATTGCGGAGCGTGGCCTCTTGAGAATCGTGGGCCATCTGAGGACACAAGGTCACACGGGCTGACTGCAGACTACTCCAAAGTCGAGAAGGGTGTGCGGGGGCTGAGCGGGGGGCTGAGCGGGGGGCTAAGGGCCGGCTGCTCGGCTTCTCCACCGCGACACCCCCCGCCCCAACGCAAGGGAGACGGCGTGGAAGGCCGGTCGGCCCGCGGGTATTTACAACCGGCTTTCGGAGCATTACCGGCCGCGGGGGCGGCAGGCTCAGGGGCTCGGGTCCAGGGCTACCGGGCGAGGTTGTAACGCGGGCGCTGGGGGCCGGGCTGCCGCCTCCCACTCTAGGGGAGCCCAGAGCTGGCGCTCCTTGCTCGCTCGACTCCAGGACCATGTAAACGCTCACGGTTCTGGGGCTCCTCCGAGCACGTCAGCTTCCGGCCTTGGAATGCTTCGTTCTGTCCGGGGTCCCCGAGAAGCCCGGCCTTCGGACCCTTTTCCAAACCCACGGTCGCCCAGCGGGCGGGGACCAGGGCGTGAAGGAGGGTTGTGGGGACGCGCCAAGAAGGCCTCCCCGGGCCCGGCCGAGCGCGGAAGGGGGGGGCTTCCAGCCTGGCCTCGCCTGGCCGCCGGCCAGACTACGTGCTCAGACAACAGACGCGAGGCCCGGCCCCCCGCACCCCCCACCCCGCGCCTAACGCTGAGACCTCGGAGGCTGGGACGGAGGCCCGGCCGCGGCCCGCACGGAGGAGCGCGCGGGGCCCCGCGCCGCCCGGAGCGGCTTCCCCGCCGCGCCTCCGAGCGCCCCGGCCGCCGCCTGGGTTCTGGCCGCCGGGGGCTGAATGTGCGGCTCGCGCGCGCTCCGGTTCCTGCCTGGAACCGCCGGGGGCCCCCGCACCCCGGAGTTCCCTTCACCGCCGCCCACAGCTCACAGCAGGCTGCTCGGCGACTGTGGGCTTTCCCTCCCGGAGCGATGCGGAGAGGGTTGTAAAGCTCCACGTTATTCTAAAAAATAAGTTTGTTTTTTTGTTTTTGTTTGGTTTTTTTTTTTTTTTAAGATTTTATTTATTTATTTGAGACAGAGAGAATGAGAGACAGAGAGCATGAGAGGGAGGAGGGTCAGAGGGAGAAGCAGACTCCCTGGAAGCCAAGCAGGGAGCCCGATGCGGGACTCGATCCAGGGACTCCAGGATCATGACCTGTGCCGAAGGCAGTCGCTTAACCAACTGAGCCACCCAGGCGCCCTGTTTTCTTTTTTTAAATCTACATTATTTCGGGCTTCGGTAGAGAAAGGGCTCGGGTCTGTCTAGGTTTAGGGCGGGTCTGTTCTCACCAAACCGTCTAAATCAAAGCGTTTCCATTCCCAACAACAATTTCTAGCCGTCTGCCTGAATCTAAACCCAGACATTCCACCACTGGAATGATTCCGGCCTCAAACCCCCGTTATTGTTGTGTGAGGATAACAGTGTTGCACTCCCTTCCCCTGCTTTCAGCCGCACCTGTCCAGAGTCTTCAGGTCTGGGAAAGGAGGAGGAGGGGCTGTGTTCTCCTTGAGGAAGTCAGCCTCAGTTTCTAGTTCCATTCCTCAGCTGGGACCACAGGCCAGTCCCTCCTGTCCCTACCCCACGGCTGGGGGTCAAATCCGACTCCGGAATCCTGGCTCCTGGGAAGGAGTCTAAGCCACCGGATTGGCCTTGTGTTCCTGCCGCTCTGACTCGGGCTTCCTGAGGCCCAGTGTACATCACCTGAGGGAGAAACTTGTCCTGCGTCCTGCCTGGGATGGTCACCAAGTAGCTATGGCCAGAGAGCAGCAGAGTTCTCCCACCTGGTGCCTCTTTGTTTCCAAAGAAACACCAGGAAGGCCACAAAGCAAAGAGGACAGGCAGATCATGGGCCCCAGCCCTTCCCTGAGCCCTGCGTGCACCAGGCCTTCCTGGCCACCAGTGAACACATGGAGTTTTTGGTTCTGAGTCCACTTCCAAAGCCGGCCTTGCTTTCCTGCCCTCTTCCCTGGCTCCCTCTCATTTCTTAGCTATTAAGCGGGGGGGGGGGGGGGGGCAGAAAATAGCAGGTCTTCTAACTGCAGACGGTGAGTCCCAGAGGCGCACAGAGTGGGGACACTCTGCCATCTAAGCCGTGCCTAGTTCAGGAAACACTCGCATTCCCAGGACGAAGTGACTGGAGTGAGAACATGTTAGATTTCTGCCTCCTCACCCTTAATCCCAGGAACCTGGTACAGCTATGGAGTTCTTAATAGGCCCATTTTGCAGACAAGGATGGGGAGTCTAGTGGGGCAGCTTCACAGAGCACAACCTTGAACGGGCTGTAAAAATTGCCAGCACTGCCAGTGCCAGTCTGACCTCCGTGGGGAGTGTCCACCTTGGCTCCTATGCCTCTTTCTGCCCCCCGGGGGGGGGGAACTCCTCCGAGCTCCTCTATCTGTCCTCTGGCCCAGGTGGTCTCAGGACGAAAGGAGCCATGGGCAGCGAGAGGACAGGCGGCGGCCAGCGGCCACAGCAGCGACCTCCTGCTCTTGCCCTTGGTGTAGGACCCTGGAAAGGGCCCGTCCCTCTCTGGCCTCAATTTCCTCAGGGACTGAGGGTTAGTTGGGGATGCCCGTGGTTCCTTTGGACTGTGCTATGCATTTTCTGACTCCCAAAGTCCTAACTTGGCCTTGGCGTCTAGATCCTTCTTCACCCAGGGATCCCTCTTGCTCCGGGACTACGGAACAGCGGGACCAAGCTCGAGATACCGGTTTCACTTGGCATCTTTCAGTCCGCAGCCAGCCGAGAGTCGGAGCAGATCCGGGAGGTGCTGCCACCGTGCAGGCCTGCATTGGCCCTAAACCTCCCTGATGCTGACACCCAGATCCAGGCGGCCCCCCAAGCCCTACTCCATTCCCCCCGGCGCACACCTAGGCTCGAGAACAGAGGCTAAAATCAGTTACAGCACAGGCCGCCCTCAGGAGCTACCGGAATGGCGAGTGAGTTATTTTGCATAATTGAGGTCTCTCTCTAAACGCCTCCTTCTCAGCCCAGGCACCCCACTTTACAACTCTGTGCCCCAGACTGACTTGAGGGGAGCAGCGCCACCGCCCAGAGCTGCAGGCCCCAGGCCTCTGAATGAAGTGAGGAGTCCTGGGTCTCCCAGTCCACCCATGTAGGCAAGTGCCCCCCTCCCTGCTCAGGCCCTGCTGGAGGGGGGGTCAGCGGGGGAGCCGGTCGGGACCACTGCCTTCTCCCTTTCCCCCCCATCAGTCTAGACCCAGAGGTTCAGGGCCATTTCCAAAACTCTAGGGCCAAACAATTATCTCCAGGCCCCTCCCTGAGTTCCAACTTCGACAGTCACCCCCAAGAGGCATCCAGGCCACCCCTCAACCAGACCACACTACCCAACAAAGCACAAGGGCCTGGTGCTCGAGTCCTGGACCATCTCTGCAAGCCCACCTCTGCAAAGGGTTCAGGACCACGTAATTCTGGGCTCAAAGGCCTTGGAGACTCACTTCCCAGAGTTAAAACACCCAGATTCAATTCTTAAAAATCTGCAGAAGAAGTACACCCACCACTTCCCAATTTTTAGCAGGCTTTCCTGGAAATTCTCCAAACAATAAATGGCTTACAATTAGCCCTCTTTCTTCAGGCCTCCCTTTCTAATTTCTGGCTTACTTGAAATCATTGGTAACAAATCATTTAATATTCCAGTCCTGGCTTCTAATGTGTTTATTTCCAGTGGGGAGGTGAGAGGAGGCCAGGGTCCTGGTCCTGGTTCCCCACCTGCTTGCAGCATGCAAATTAAGAAACAGCTCACTGGGGTGGGGGGGATAGATAAAAAGAAAGAAAGAAAGAAAAACAAAAACGGGCTCACCACCACTCCTTCCGGGGTGGGAAGGAGACTCGACCCTTGTAAAACCCAATTCTCTTTTAATTTTAATTTTAATTTTCTACTTCTCTGGTAGAGGGGTCACCACCCTTGGGCTCACTAATAGCGACCACCCGCTTGACAACTTCAAGTAGGAGAGGCTGGAGTGGGGCACGTCTTTATAGTGGGGTCGGAAAAGGAAAGAAGGTGTATGGGGCTAGGGTGGAGGTACAGGTCACAGGCTCTTGCACCAGGGAGGAAAGGGCTGGAGGCTGCATGGCCCAGCTGGGAGGCAAGGGCTACGGCTAGCTTTGGGGGCGGGGAGGGGGGGCTAGACTCCCCGGCCAGCTGTGATTCAGGGCTGCAGGTCACGCTGGGCGACAGGCCCTCTGAGCCCTGGAGGCAGTGTGAAGTGCAGCTCCAGACCCAGAGCCAATTACTTATAACAGGCTTAGGGGCAACCAACGCAAAGGTCAAGCTTACTGGCTTCTGGCTGGTTGCCGGCCAGGCGCTTTAATGGAGGCAGCCTGCACCCAAAGGACACCTGTCGCTGCAGTGCAGCCACCTTCCGTGTCCTGCAGCTGAAGTTGTGTCTACTTCCCCACTGGCTTCTGGAGCTCCACACGGCGCTAGGGGCTCCTCAGCCCAGAAGTCTGGAGTGCCCAGCAGGCCCCCCCATGCAGTGTCTCAGCCCAGGGTCAGAATCTCTCACGCCAGGCTGCAGCCACCCTGTCTGGGGACAGAGATGCTGAAAGGTGATCGGTTGAGAAACACCAGGACACCAAAAGGAACGCTGTGGTGACCAGGCCTCCCCAGCCCTGTTGCTCAGAAGTGCCCAGCCCAGCAGCCATGGTCACCCGCAGGCCATGTGCTAGCAGGGAATGCTGGCCAGCACGCCATTACTTACCACCGGAGTCTGCTGGACCCATGGGTCCTGGTGCCCCTTGCCTACCGTGGCACCTGCCCCTCCGGTTTATAATTCCAATCAGGAAAAGAAGACTGTGTTCTGGCCTGCCTGCCATTTTTCTTCTAGTCCCCTCTCTGGCCTGCAGGTTTTCAGCTCACCTACTTTCGGTCTCTCCTACCCTGACCTGCCCTGCCCAGGCCAAGGGAGCAAAGAAGAGGTAGCCAGAGAGGCCCAAATCTGAGGCCCGGGCCCCAAACAAGTGCCCTGCTCATGGCTAGGGCCTTCAGGGCCTGGGCCTCCGGGCGCACTCCGCTCTCTCCCAGGCCAGGAGCAGCAAGCACGGCTCACCTTCGGCTGGGGTGCTCACACTTCCCCTCCCAGAAAAAGAGATACGAATGAAAGAAGGAAAAAATAAAAGGTAGAGTTAAAGACATGAAGAAAAAAGAAAAGGAAAGGAAAGAAACGAAAAGAAAAGAAAAGGAGGGAAACCAGAATGGACCAGCATGATCACAAAACAATTCCTGATTCGCCGGGTCCACACTTGGGCCAGAAGACGGTCTAGTCCCCACGGCGCCAACACCCTGGCTCCTCTCTCCAACAGGAGCCGAAGCTCCCGGCGCGGCCTCCCCAAGACTCCCTGGCACTAGCGCTTCAAGCCAGCTCCAGCTCCCCGCTTGGGCCGAGGCTCTCGGCCGCCCACCTGCGGCCTCACCTTCGGGGAAGACGGCCCGCATCTTCAAGTAGCTGGTGGTGAGTCGGATGATAGACGCCTTGTCCAGCTGCGAGGTGATGGCCGACGGCAGCGGGAGCAGCTTGGCCAGCTCATAAAACTCGCCATTTTCCTTCTCCCTCCTGGTCTTGGCCGCATTCTTGGACTTCTCCTTCATCGCGCCTCGGCTCCGGGCATATTAGACCCGGCCGTGCTCCAGGCCCTCGGAGCCCCGCTCCGGCTGCAGCGGCGGCGATGGGGAAGGGGACTCCGGGAGCCAGGTGAGTCTGGGGCAGCGCCCGGGGCAGGTGCGCGGGGCAGGCCTGGGGCACCGAGAAGCCTCTCCGCCGCCGCTGGGCCCTGGAGCTCGGCGCAACCCAGCGGCGCAGCTGCGCGCTCTGCCCGCCGCCCCGGGCGCAGCCTCCTCCGGGCTGTACTGTCCCGCGGTGCCCAGAGCCCGACTTCCCGCTCGCTTCTGCTCGCTCTTCCTTTCTCGCTCCTGTCTTCTCGCGTCTCGGCCTTCCTTAGGAGGTGGAGAGTAGCCAGCGAGGAGGCAGCGGTGCCGCTTAGTCCTTGATCGAGTGTTCGTACCCGCTGCCGAGAGGCCCCTCCGGACTGGAGGGCGGCATGGGCGGCGGCGGCCGCGGAGCCATGGAGCGGGAGGGGAGCGGAGGGGAGCTGGGGCGGAGGCGGCTGGGGCCCGGCCCGGGCGCGCTCTCCTGCCCTCCCTGGCGGTTCCCTTTGCCTGGAGCCGCGGCGCCCGGAGCCCGCGATCTGTCGCGAGCCGCAGCAGCTCCGCGGTCCACGTGCGACCGAGCCGCGTTTGTTTATGGCGGACCCGCCTTCGGGCGGAGCACTCGGCCGCCGCGGCCCGGGGGGCGGGGGGGGGGGCGGGCGGGGGGGAGGGACCGCGGCGGGGGCGGGGGCGGCGAATCTCGCCTCCCGACCCCGCCGCGGCCCCGGAGTCACAGGCGCGCCTCCGCGTCGCGGCCTCCAGGGACTCTCCCAGGAGAGGCCCGCGCGCTCCCGGCCTCGAGGAAGTCTCGGTGAGTGCACACGGCACGCCGTGGGGACCGGCTCCGGCCAGCGGGTCGCGGGACCTGGGCGCTAGGATGGGCGGTGGGGAGCAGCGGAGGAGGGACGGAAGCGAGGGAGGGATGCCCAAGCCTCCTCTGTGGCTCCCAGACAGGTCCTGGGAGCGCGCGGCCGAGGGCAGGCGGCTTGACCCTCCGGCTCGTGCTCTTCGAGTCCTCCGGGCCTCCCGCAGGTCCCGCGCCCTCACGTCCCCACTTTGCAGGTCCGAGGGCCGAAAGGGGGCAGGCCCGAAGGGAAGACCCCCTTCCTCGGGAGAGAGCCTCTGCCCCGTCTGCCCTTTCTCTCCTCGAAACACAGGAGCGAAAAAAGATCGGCGCCTTCGCGGAGGGGCTGCAGGCCGCGGGGACGCGCGGGCCAGACGAAAGGAGGGGACCGGGGAGCCGAGCCTAGACGCCAGGCCTCGCCCAGGGCGGCGGCGGCGGCGGGCACAGGGTCCAACAGTCCCCGCTCCTGCAGCCCGACTCTGTGCAGCCGGAATTTTGGGGACTCGCGGCTGGGGCGGGTACTTCAGGCCGGGGGTGGCCGAGCTCGAGTAATCGAGTGAGCCTTGATAGGAGCCAAGGTGGTGGCCCCGGAAGCCCTTGGAGTGGGGAGGCACACTTGGAGATGCAGCCATAGGGCGTCCTGGTGCCTTCCCTCCGGGCCACACTGGGCCGCAAGAGTCCTCCTACCCCACTCTCACGCCACCCCCCGCCCCAGATCTGCGCCTGCAACCCCAGGAGGGCTCTCCTCCAATCCCCGACGGTCGCACCGACCCTCGCCCTTCTAGCGGTTTGAATACTGCGGTCACCGCGCGGATGTGCGCGCTGGGAGGACGCCAGCTTCTCCCGCGCGTGGGGTCAGAGGGCAGCTGCAGTGGACTCGGGGCACGGGGTCTTGCGGGTCCCTCGACCGAGTCCCGCAGACTGTACGACTGTGGGGCGCCTGATACTGAGGTGGGCTAGCGGAAGCGGAGAGACGCCGGGGCTGCGGCGCTCCGCGCTAGGATCTCCGTTTTCAGCGGCCACCGCTCTCCCTCCCGGCCGGGTCGGAGCCTGCTGCTCCGCGCACTCACTGACCGGCGACCCGCCTCCCTCCCTCACGCCTGGGGTGGGGGGCGAGAAGAGGACCACCAACCCTGCTGCGGGCGCTCCTGACCTTTTCTGGGGATCCCTTTGAAGGGACGCCGTTGAAGGCGTCTTAGCTCCCTCGGTGGGCAAGACCGTGTGCGCAGACTCCGGCTTGGTCCCCGCAGCCCCGCGCCCTGCGGAACCCACAGCCTTGACCTGGGCTCCCGGGGCTGGCGCTCCGAAACCACCGAGCAGCGCGAGTTTCGGAGTTGGTGCCCCCCGCCCCCAAGCAACTGCGGAGCGCAGCACTTTCCCTTGGAGTTTTGCATCTAGGAGCACTTTCCTGTTTCCAAAGGTGCGTGCGGAAGGGTCTGGACGGCGCGCGAGCGGTGAGGGTTCGCAGTACCCAAACGCAGGGCGTGGGGCCGCTTCACTGCCCGGGATCTCGCGCCTGACTGCGCAGACTGCTGTCGTCTTGAGGCTTCCCGGAGAACGGACTCCAAGAGGCAGGGACTGCCGCCTGAGGGCTGGGCCCCGCCGAAGGCTGCTCAGGCTGCCTTTGAGTATGCTCCGGCATTTTCCTGGCTTCGGGAGGATTTAACGTTCCCCTCACCCCCACGATTTCCGATCCCCAATTACGGACCCGAGAGAATTCCTCCTAGGCTTGAAAGGGATTACTCAGATCGCAGGAACATGGCTAAGTGGAAGTGGGAGAGACCCAGCAAGTAACAGAAACTTTTCTTAAACCAAATTTCCCGGATTTTCCGGGAAAGCGTATATGAGATCTCGTCATCTCATCTTCACAGCAGCTGTTCTCGCATCAGCAGGACGGGTCCGAATCGCGGGGTTCGAGAAGTAGCACAACGGAGCGTTTGAAGACTCGTAGAATTGGGGGTATGGGACTAAAGCCTGCCTCAGCAGACAGCGAAACGGGCATTGTATATCCCCCCGACACATTCATTCAAGATACACACACACACACACCGCGATGGGTCTGAGCTCCCTCCCACGCCCCCATCACCGAAAGTACCCAACATACTTGCAAGCAGACCTCGAGGTTTCCTGGGTGGTAAGGATAGTGACTTCTGCGTGGAATAGTGAAAGAAGAACGATCCCCTCCCCAGGGCGTGCCTGTCCCAGAGCGTGCCTGTCCCAGAGCTCTTTCTACCAGAAGGAAAGCCTAGGACCCCTATTACACTTAGAAGGGACACCCACAGGCTCTGTGTAAAGTGGGAAAAGCATTAAATAGGTGCTTATTAGAATGATCTGGGCATCAGCGGTGGCCGCCGGCTGGGACACCTGCTGCGTGTCCCTTGCTCCAGGGCTCCTAGTCTATGCTTTGGGGCTAACTCCGAGTGCCTCCCCCAGAGCAGAGAGGGGCCTGCAGGGGAGAAGTATAACAGCCACGAAAGACCCTGAAGTCTGGGCATCCCCCCAAAACAGGAGTTCCCCTGCGGGCCTGGAAGGAGCCTGCAGAATCTAGAATGAAGGGAGGCTGGGGGGCAGGAAGAGGGCTTGTGGGGGGGTGACCCACATATTGAGGTCAGCAAGCTTCCGGAGTATGGCGTGTTCACCAGGCGCCCCCACCCCCAGTCCTGCTTTGCACGCTTTGGCGCACCCCGAGGTGCACCAGCACGCCTCTACATACCCCCCACCTCTTAGAAATTTTCCATTAGGAAACTGATCTGGAAGAAATTGAGGCCCCAAGAGGAAAGGGGCGGGCCCAGGCCGCCCCACATCTGCTTGGATTTTCCGCTTCAGATGCTCCACAAGTGTTTTTGCCCAGGCCGCGCCCGGCGCCTACCTGAGGCCCATCCCCCGCGGAAACCGACTTTCGAGTGAGATCAAGGGGGAAACGCGCAGATGTTCTACCGCGGATGGGCTCCCGGAGAGGCTGCTGCCTTGGCAGAAGGGGATCAGAGACTTTGCCACGAAGGAGGTGGGGGCGGGGAGAGAACTCCTACCATCCCTAGCACCGTGGGGGAGATGGTGCCGAACCTCTCATGTGACAGCTAAGGAGAGCTCCAACCGCTGGAGCAAAACGAGGCAACCGAAAATCCAGGACTAGAGAGATTCGAATCTATTCAATTTATAAGCCTTTGTCTACACAATTAGCAAGATAAGGTTACTCCAGAAGTTCCCGCTTGCGTCTAGCATCACGTATATGACTATCATGGCTAGGAGGCGTTTTGGGTCTGAGCTATCTGAAAGAGTACTCCGATTTTTCACTCCCCATAGAGCTATTACCAACTTTTCCTGGAGTCATCGCTATGGCAAGAGAGGATCAGAGGACAATTCTAATATCGCTCCTCATTGTTTAAAAGTAATTCAAGGTAGCCAGAGCTATTTCATAGTGATCATTCCTCCAGAGGTCTAGACAGTAACTGGCTCTGCTCACGTATTTCCAAGAAGAGGAAGAGAAGTTGATCTGTATTTTTGTTTTGTTTTTTAAGAAATTCTTTCACTGGAAGTTACTCCTTTGGAGAAAGTGTTCGCTTTCAGCTTGGTGGGCAGGATCTCTGAGTATACTGCAAGAACTAGGGCAGATCCTCCCTGTGCATGGGGTCCAGGGAACCCTTCCCGCCGGTCTTTGGCCCTCAGCTTGGCGCCTCAGGCATAGTTTGGGGTGGGGAGGCAAGAGAAGGAGGCATTCCAGGGTGAGGCTGTGGGGGGTAATTCCCATCTTCTGGGTTCCTACATGGGCCTGCTCTAAGTTGACACTGTTCTCTGGGATTCCAAAAAGAGCATGGTCCTTTTCTTCGGACTCAGTTGTCTAGGACAACTCTGGGTTCTGAGATTGGGGTCTGGAGGCCTTGGGTCACAGCAGTGCCTCTTGACCTAGGAATGGAATAGCTGCTGCCCACTTCTCTCTCTCCCTCAGAGTGATGCATTTAGGGGAAGAAAAACAGTGCCACTGGTAATTAATTATAGTGATTATAGTGATTAGCAAACTCCCTGAGCCACAGGGTGCCACAGAAGACTCGCCAGGTTCGGGTAAAAGAGAGCCACTCATTTCTTCTACTTTTACCTGCAGGTGAGAGGGTAGCCTGTCCTTTCCATTTTGCTTCCCTGTCTTCCAAGCCTGGCCTCACTTTCTCTCCATTCTCCGCGCCCCTCCCAATGCACTCAGACTTCCAATGTTCTCCAGGGAGGGCGATTTACCCCTGCAGCTCAAGCAGCGCCCAGCGCCCAGGATCAGAACTGAGCGACGGGAAGGGATCCTTGGCGGAGAGAGAGGGGGTGCCCAGCGACCTGCGCCGACCTAACCCCACCCTTCCAGGGCCCGGCCGCCTGAAGCCTCCGCGGTCCTCTTGAGGACTCCCGGCCCAGCTTCACAGAAACGGCGCCTCGAAATCACGGTTCTGAGAAGAGGTTGCCCATCGGCTCCCGGCAAATCCCCGCTTTTCGCCTCCAGCCAGCTGGGGGTCGTGCCTGGAAACCTTTGAGCTGGAGGAGTCTTAACAGTCCGGCATGCGCTGAAATCCCTCAGTGGTTATACCAATTACACACCACCTTGAAATCTGAAAACCAGTTAGTTCATTAACGACTGCTTTGAAAGCACCTTTCAAAAACATTAGCCAAAAATTTCCTTTAGAAAACAAAAGAAAACATCCACCAGAGCTAAATATTTCTGTATATCAAAGAGCACAAACCTGATGGGCTT